AAGCTAAAAATGTGATTTTTCGTACAATCAAGGGCCATAATTCCGGAAGTTATGATCCGATAGGCGCACACATTGAAAGGAACCAAGATCTTTGGGTAATAAATATGTATTTCAAGTTTCATCAAAATCGGTTTAAAATTGTGGCCTCTAGAGAGCCACAACCTTGATATACCATATATTTTCACTATTTGCGTACGAGGGGTGGTCATTTTGTCTGTCAGTTTTGGTCTGATTTTCACAAATTCGAACTCAAGCATCATTACTGTGCAACTGTGATATATTCAAACGTTTTTTTTTAATTGTATAATAATCAGGGGCCATAATTGTTAATTCTGGAAGTTACGATATGTTTGATGTTGTATTCTATTAATTATTGTATATCAACTTATCTGAATATCAAATGCATCATTTTGACTTAGTCAAAATTGATCCCATCAAACCGTCTGTAATTGGTTTGTGTTACCTGTTTCTATTGATTGAAAGTTTCACATGAAAATGTGGGCGTATAAAGACAAAAGTGCAAATGGATGTCAACCTTAGTTCAGAAAATTATGCAAATCATGTGAGACTGTGTACAACCCAAGAAACAAGCAGTCAAGACATGAAATCATTCAAATTTAGAGACTGTCAACTTATGTTATTTATTGCGCTGTTTTTCTAATATGACAGTTGGTTGAATTGGACCAGCAGTATTTCATATATACTATTCAAAAAAAGTAGGGGATATTTGATTTTGGGGGCATAATACTAAAATATGACTACGAAACATTTCCAGTTACATGTGACGCCCAAACGCACCAATAGCTACCGCATGGAATGCAGGTGATGCTTGGGATCATCATGGGGGTCCAACCCAAGATTTGCACGACTCTGACTTTGAATGTTACAGTCATTGTGGCATTGAATTCCAGGGTGGAAACATCAGTTTAATTGTTTTAGTGACCAGAAAACAAATTTTGATATGCGTCAGCTTACCCAAAATGAAAGGTTACGTGCCCTTGGCATGCTACAGATCGGCACAACACAGGCGGTTGTGGCGCAGACGATGAATGTTTCTCAGTCTGTCATAAGCAGGCTATGGTCCAGATACCGTGATACACAATCTGTACAGAACAGACCACGCTCAGGTCGACCAAGGGCGACAACTCAAGCCCAGGATCGATTTATCCGTACCTTGGCCTTGAGAAATCGTGTCATCACAGCAAATCAGATCAGCGCTCGTCTTCAAACAGACACTGGTGTGAGAGTGAGTGGCCAGACAATTCGGAATCGACTGCATAGGGGTCACCTTCGCGCCCGACGTCCTCGCGTGATCCCTTGTTTGAGAGATCATCACATTCAGGCAAGACGTCGTTGGTGTAGGGATCGTCAACACTGGGATAATCGACGCTGGAGCAATGTGATGTTTTCAGATGAGTCAAGGTTCACTGTTGATTTTTTGGACAAACGTAGGAGGGTGTGGCGTCGTCGAAACGAGCGCTTCCAAGACGTTAACGTCATCAGACATGATCGATTTGGGGGTGGTTCTGTTATGGTGTGGGGAGGCATCACTGTTGCTGGAAGAACGGCTTTACATGTTGTTGCAGGGCGTGTTACAGGCCAGTACTACCGGGACAACATCTTGGCAGTCCATGTTGTGCCGTTCGCACGACGTCATGGCCGCCGTTTCATCTTTCAGGATGACAACGCAAGATGTCACAGGGCCAGGATCGTTACAGGTTACCTCCAACAACAGAACATCACCTTGGCCAGCACTGAGTCCCGACCTCTCCCCCATCGAGCATGTCTGGGACATGCTTGGACAGAGGTTACGTCAACGTCAATAACGTCCTGCCAATGTCCAAGAACTTGCTGCTGCGTTGCAACAGGAATGGGACAATCTGGACCAAAATGACCTTAGACGTCTCATTGGGAGTATGCCACGTCGGATCAATGCTTGTTTGGCAAACAGAGGAGGATTTACCCGTTACTGACTTGGTTGTGATGCTGTGGTAACTTTGCTGTTTGACCCCGGGTATCATTTTACCCTTATAATGGTCAGTCTGTGCCTTACTTAGTCTATCGATCATTTGGAATAAATCGATGAATGTGAACTTCATTTCATTTTGTCATTTGTTTCTTCGTCAGTTTCATTAGGTGACTTTAATAACACTTAAAAATCAAATATCCCCTACTTTTTTTGAATAGTATATTTAACTAATCTCTTTTACACTGTGTGTGGCCATAACAGAGGTATAGTGGCTTTATTCTAGCAATTAACTTTGACATATACACGTCAGAATTTCCAACCTGGAACCTATGGATGAAAGCAATCACAACATGAACAAGCCAACAGTGAGGCTGATGTCCCTCGCCAAAATCCCTGAATAAATAGATGACACATATTAATTAATTGCATATTTATCTTTTTCAAAAGTATCGTGCAATCAAACTGATTATCATCTATTAAGTTTCATCATTCTCTATCAGATACAATCAAAGACAAAGAAATTGCTTAGCTTTAGCTCGAAATGTTAATCATTGAACTCAGTCATGACATTCACCTAATAAACATCTTAATCAAGTTTAAACATTCTTTCTATCTCATTTAAAAGCCAAGTTATTATGTTCCAAAGTCCAGGGCTAGAAATTTGTCATTTTTTGCAAGAATCTAAGAGAATTCTCAAATATGCAATCTGCGCAAATCTTTCAAATCTTAAAGGGCCAATCCCGATAATATTTTGGAGAATAAAAGTGCTTAATTTGTGTTAAAATCCTTTAAAATCCCCCAACTTAGAGCCGAGCAATTAACTCAATATATGTGATATGTTTTCAAACAATTTAAACCCGTCAGTCTTCATTTGCAAATGGAGACCGGCGTCTCAAGCTGTATTATAGGGTGTCTGGATAAAACCAGACTTTTTTTTTATAAAAATAATGGGTAGGTGATAATTACCTTTCGTTATAAAGTACAGCACATGGGTCATTCATTGTATAGACCTCTAAAGGAACGGGAATAAATTATCAGGTCACCCAACGAAAAAATTGACCCGAGATCTTAAAAGGGTTACGTGTCCAGATAAGCAGTTGTGACGTTCACGTCCAAACGACTCAATATTTTGAGCTGAGATTTTAAAACAAAGTAAATACACCATTCCTCTATATTTTGGCGCCTAACTTTCATACGTACTCAGACTTTTATTTTTGTTCAAATCGGGATAGTCCCTTTAATATTACTGACTAAAAAACAAAATTGTGTTTATTGTTTATTGCCAGTATCAGAAAATGCTGTAGCCAAAATAAGCTGATACGGCGTCGTGGCATGTCTTCATAACACAATTTGTAGTCTTTTGTCCATCACGTAACAGTCACATAACTTGCAAAAGTTTTTATTCATTCGTCGATGATAGACAAACGGCACAACGATCACGTGACAACCGTAACTGAAATTGCTATAAAATAAAATTGTGTACGACTATGATATAGCCTTCAATAATATTTTTAAAATTAAGCCTCTGTCAGTAGTGTATAAAATAAACCAGCGGCTGCCAGGCAGGATACGCCCACATTTTCGAGAGATGGATAGAGATAGGGGCCATAATTCAGGAAGTTACGATCTGATATGCGCAAATATCGAAAGGAACCAAGATCTTTAGGTTATAAACATGCATTTCAAGTTTCATCAAAATCGAATTAAAATTGTGACCTCTATAGGGTCCACAAGCTAAAAACGTGATTTTTCGTACAATCAGGGGCCATAATCCATGAAGTTTCGATCCGATGCATGCCAATATTGAAAGCAGCCAAGATCTTTTGGGGATAAACCTATATTTCAAGTTTCGTCAAAATCGGATAAGAATTGTGACCTGTAGAGAGTCCACGGACGTCTGGACAGACAGGGGCGACGACAATATACGTCCACATGAAAATGTGGGCGTATAAAAATCATAACGGTAAACACTATTTAGAACTGATTTATTGACCTAATTCCAACCGATATGTCACGTGTCATTGGAATTCGGCATTGGAGATTCTGTTGGGAAAATATCCACTGTTTCTCTCTCCGTGTATTCGATGTTCTATCAGGGGATTATATTCAATGAAGATCTTAAGTTACCGAACAACTGGTCAGTGAATCCATCAATGTATTATCCAGTTATTATTTTAATATCTACCGATACCTGGAATTCACACGGACGGAGCGTGGAAGACGCGCAATTCGGAAACCATGCCGAGACCGTCTTCAATGGCCACATGGTTTATTTTACTGAACCTATTATAAATAATCAGTAGGCTTGTTTTGTTTATTTTACTGAATTATCAAATTCACCGTTAAATGTGCCGAGAAAATACACCCCCATGGTGAACACTAACCCTGACTGACATTCAATAGTCAGACTCGACAATTCTCCCGAGATTTTTTTTTTGGGGGGGGGGGTTATAGAATTTTTTTACGCTAATCCTTGTCGATTCGCAGCGTAAGCTCGTGCAAGAATCCTTGCAAGAATTAGATTCGGAGATTCGCGTAAATTTCTGGCCATGAAGTCTTCACCAATCAAATTGCTTATCGCTCCTTAGCTTAAGCTGATAATTCTCATCATCGAACTTAGTCAATGTAATGATATAATGAATCTATACTCAGTAGAAAATGTTCATTGTAGAACTTAGATCATTAATAGAACTAAAGTTATCGTGTCCCAAAGCATCAACCAATTAAATTGTTTATCTCTGCTTACCCTAAGCAGAAAATGCTCATCTTCGTCCTCCATCAAGGCATTGACCTAATAAACGCCTACACCAAATTTAAACATTCTAGATCAATTAGAAGGAGAGTTATTGTGTCCCAAAAAGTGTGATGGACAGACAGACAGACAAACACATTTTAATAGTCCCCTGCCTTCTCCGAAAAGCGGGAGACAATAGCTAGTACATGAACATGGCACTGATCACCCTAAATACAGGGAGCCTACAATATACATACATACAAACACATTCAAATGCTCAACAATTCAATAGCTTACTTCATAAATGCCAAGGGAAAGCTAGGAATAAAACAAATTACATAATAATTAAAACATATTAAAAGAATTAAAATAAAAATAGTGCCCACACTGCAGCTATGACTCAACGTACAGCAGCTTATCTGAAAGGAAATCTTGAAGGTTCAAGGATCTAGGATCCTTCAAGTGTTCACAGGCTTTTCCAGACACTAATAAATCTCTGGAACAAAAAGTCTTAGATTTCAGAAAATCAGCAGGAGGCATATGATTTATTGTACAATCAGGGGGTGAGGGGCCATAATCTAGAATTTTCAAATCCGATCCGAGATATTTGGTATATAAACTATCTTTTAAGTTTCATCAAAATAGGATAACAAAAAGCAAGCTGTTGCCAAGCAAGATACACTCATGTTTTGCAAGAGATGGATAGAGAAAAAGGTAAACTAGAGAGAGAGAGAGAGGGAAAGAAATGGGGTTTAAAGTCCACTCGACACAAACTAGGTCATTTTGGGACTAACATATGGTTTAATTTTATTTCAATAATTCGCTTGCGCGTAGGGGTCTTTAGTAGTTGGAGGAAACTGGAGGACCTGGAGAAAACCCACGAGGTTGGACAGGCAACCCTACTCCTTGTCACGTACAATCGGGAATTCGAAACCATGCCAGTTGACTCAATGACAGGCTTTATGATACAGCAACACATGCTAACCATTCGGCCATCCAACCCCCCGGTAAACTAGAACTTCATAGGAGTACTGAAGGCTTTCACCACATCAAAAGATAGCATTCTTGGCGACATTTTGTAATTGAGGTTAAGCTTGAAACTGAAGAAGAAATTAGAGTTTACGCCCAAAAAATCTAAAGTCGTGGTCGCCAACCAAGTTGTGGTCGTAACTTGTTCAAAGCCACAAAACTTGTTGCTTTAGTACCATCTGATAGACAATTCAATTGGCTATTAAACGATATAAAATTCTAACTAATCGGTAAAAAACAATTGATACATCGTATTTTCCGCACAGGCACCCATTTTTCAGAAATTTACCAAAGTTCGGACACGTTTCTTGACTACTTCTGGTATTTTAATTTTTTTCATTTATAGTATAAGGACTGGATTAGACCTTCGACTTGGTATTCCTTAAAGCGAGAATTTCATATTTTCTAAGAAAGTCAAAACATAATTTTTTCTATGTCTTTTGCTCAATAGGTTGTCAAGTCACTATTATACGATCATAGGTATCATTATCACACTTATAAAATCATTCACACCGGAAATAATAACACAATTACCTCCCTTGTTTTTCTATTACCCCCCATGGAATAGCTATCTTCAAACGTTTGAATTTGAAGTTGAAAATGATATTTTTGCCAATTTCTCAACTGGCAATAGTGAATTATAGTATTATTCTTTTACAAGGTAGGGCTGTTTATAGATACCATCTATTTTAAGGCTTTATTTTAATACATTTTAATAATATAACTTAAAAATATAAAATTCTCGCTTTAAGTTTCAGAAAAATCGTAGGCTTCGTTTTAAGGTTATTGAATTTTGAATAAAACTAAAAAAAAAATCGCAAAAAATCGACCAAAATCAATATCCGAATTTCATAACAAACCTTATATCGCTGGAATCGAATTGATGTCATCTATCCAAAAATATAATCAGAATTAAAAAATCCCAATTTTCCAATTTTCATCAAAAAAAAAAATGAAAGTGACAAAGTTTCTAAATTCGACTTTTTTGAACTGGTATCTGCTCAGAAATGTCTCCAGCTATCCAAAAGAAAATATCTGAAAAATCGGTTGAGAATTAACAGAGTTATGGCCGATTTTCAATGTTCGTGCACGTTAAAGATTTGACACATTTCCGCTATGCGCCCAAATTTCGCTTTCCATTTAAGCACTAACCACCACCCTATTTCCCAAGAGAAAACCAAACTTCAGACCTCGATCTCTTATAGTTGATCAGAAATAGGCCCCCCCCCCCCACAAAATAATAATGAAGAATAATAATCTTAGTGAAAGCCTAAAAATCACCTGATTTTTCTGACTGTCACTAGCCATTTAATCCAGTTTAATCCAGGATGTTACAGTTCGAAATGTGAGAATATCCTTGGGAAATAAACTAAATTTAATGTATCTTCCAAATCTGATAAAAATTGTTACCTCTAGAAAGTCCACAACCTGGAACTGGGTATTACTTATTGTGAGCTCTAGAAGGTCCACAACCTTGATATACCATACTTTTACACTATTTGTGTGCAACAGTAATGGTATGATTTTTACGAAATTCGAACTTAACCATTATTATGGTGTAATGGTGATATATTCGAACATTTTTTTAAATTGGTTAAAAACTGTGACCTTTAGAGGCACCATGCACAAGCTAAAAACATAATTTTTCGTACAATCAAGGGCCATAATTCAGGAGGTTACAATCCAATATGCGCAAATATCGAAAGGAACCAAGATCTTTGGATTATAAACATTCATTTCCACTTTCATCAAAATCAGATAAAAATTGTGATCTACAGAGGGTCCACACGAGTGGTGGCCATTTTGTCTGGTAGTTTTGGTTCATTTTTCATGAAATTCAAACTCAAAGGCATTATGGTGTAACGGTGATATATTTGAACATTTTTTTAAATCGGTTAAAAATTGTGACATCTAGAGGAAGCACAAGCTAAAAACGTGATTTTTCGTACAAGCTAAAAACGTGATTTTTCGTACAGTCAGGGGCCATAATTCCGAAAGTTACCATTCAATATCAAAAGGAACCAAGATCGTTGGGTTATAAACATGCATTTCAAGTTTGATCAAAATTGGATAATAATTGTGACATCTAGAATATCCACAAGCTAAAAACACGACTTTTCGTACAATCAGGGGCCATAATCCATGAAGTTATGGTACGATACATGCCAATTTCGAAAGGAACTGAGATCTTTGGGAGATAGACCTATACATCCACATGAAAATGTGGGTGTATTTAAAACACCTATTTCCACATTAGGTCATAGGTCAGTATTTTGCATGCAATAAGTTTTCCTACCCATGTTTAGATTTAACATCCTCGCACCAGATATAGCCTGTTGGTCTTTGATTATACCCCTTTGGTGGGGTTATAACATGCTATCGAGAAAACACACAGTTTTAACTTATTTATATAAATTATGTTGCTGTTATTTTAGTATTAACCCAGATATGCACAACTTCACCTTTAGAGCTAGATAACACTTTTTCTACTTCTCGGTGCATATACATTTCAAGAGAGAGAGAGAGAAAAATGGGGTTTAACGTCCACTCAACACAAATTAGGTCATTTAGGGAATAACACATGGTTCAATTTTCAATCATTCGCTTGTGCGGCGGGTCTTTAGCAGTGGGAGGAAACCGGAGCGCCCGGAGAAAACCCACGAGGTTGGACAGGCGACATTACTCCTTGTCACGTACAACCGGGGAATCGAAACCCCACCAGTTGACTCAATGACAGACCGTATGATAGCGCGCACTAACCATTCAGCCATCCAACCCCCCATATATACATTTCAAGTAAATTAGATGATACCTTAAAGATACATTATGGGAGATAAGATAAAGAGATGGTAGTTCTCGATATAATAGTTAACCAGCGGCTGCCAGGCAGTATACGCCCACATTTTTGAGAGATGGATAGAGAACAAGCTAAAAAGAAAGTGATTTTTCCTACAATCAAGGGCCATAATTCATGAAGTTACAATTCGATATGCGCAAATATCGAAAGGAACCAAGATCTTTGGGTTATAAACATGCATTTCAAGTTTTATCAAAATCGGATTAAAATTGTAACCTCTACAGGGTCCACAACCTTGATATACCATATTTTTTACACCTTTCGCGTACAAGCGGCGGCCACTTTGTCCGGCAGTTTTGGTTTGATTTTCAGGAAATTTGAACTCAACCTTTATTATGGTGTTACGGTGATACATTCAAACAAATCTTAAAATCAGATAATAACTGTGACCTTCAGAGGGACAACAAGCTAAAAGAGGCGATTTTTTGTATAATCAGGGGCCACAATTCATGAAGTTACGATCCGATATGCGACAATATCGAAAGGAACCAAGATCTTTAGGTTATAAACATGCATTTCAAGTTTCATCAAAATCGAATTAAAATTGTGACCCATACAGGGTCCACAACCTTGACATATACCCTATTTTTACACTATTCGTGTCCGGCAATTTTGGTCTGATTTTCCCCAAATTTGAACTCAACCTTCTTTAGGGTGTAACAGTGATATAATAATACGTTTTTTTAAATCGGATAAAAATTATGACCTATATAAGGTCCACAAGCTAAAAATGCGATTTTTCCTATAATCAGGGGCCATAATTCAGGAAGTTACGATACGATATGCGGCAATATCGAAAGAAACCAAGATCTTTAGGTTATAAACATGCATTTCAAGTTTCATCAAAATCGAATTAAAAATGTGACCCATACAGGGTCCACAACCTTGATTTGCCATATTTTTACACTATTCGCGTACAAACGGCGGCCATTTTGTCCGGCAATTTTGGTCCGATTCTCACGAAATTCGAATTCTACCTTCCTTAGGGTGTAACGGTGATATAATAATACGTTTTTTTAAATCAGATAAAAATTATGACCTTTATAGGGTCCACAAGCTAAAAACACGATTTTTCATACAATCAGGGGCCATAATTCAGGAAGTTACGGTCCGATATGCACGAATATCGAAAGGAACTGAGATCTTTGGGTAATAAACTTTCATGTCAAGTTTCAACAAAATCGGATAAAAAATGTGACTGCTATAGGGTCCACAAGCTAAAAACGTGATTTTTCGTAACAAACAGGGGGCATAATCCATGAAGTTTCGATCCGATACATGCCAATATCGAAAGCAGCCAAAATCTTTTAGGGATAAACCTATATTTTAAGTTTCGTCAAAATCGGACAAGAATTGTGACCTGTAGAGAGTCCACAAACAAATTGTGGACGGACGGACGTCCGGACGGACAGGGGCAACGACAATATACGTATAAAAACTAGATAGTGTAAAGGTAATTTGCTGAAAATTTCAGTCAAATTGATCCACTATGAGCTGAGAACGAAGCGGGTGAAATTTTTGCATAGTCTCGGTCATCATTACTAAAATCATTAATATAAACAGCATAGTCTCGATTATCCACTTTTTTTGATTTAATTATCAATGGCCATTAGCGGCATATAGGAATCTAATCCAGCCAACATCGAAGGCTAGCCTTGACATCGAGAGTTTATTATGGTCTGGATAAGTTAATTAATGTCTAATTGATAATTTAGATAACATTTCAGGCCTAAAGAAAGACTTGTAATAAGCAGATTTTACTCTTGCATAATGCATGTTTAAGTCACTAGGATGTCAAGATTATTTTTTAAAAGTGATCAAGACCAATAAATCTGCAAAGAAAATCAATGCGTTTCAGCATCATCAATTTCAAGACAGAAGGTTGAATTTATACAATTTAGCATTTGGAGTGTCCACATCTGGAGGGTCCATAAGATTTTTGAAAGGTATCAAGAGCATCAATTATTAGAAAACATTCTTCTCATGCATAGTTAAATGAGGACATAAAAATAATAAATACTCACATTACTTCCTTGATGTGAATGACCTGGCATTCCAGTAGTATTTATTAAAGTAGTAGTAGCATAAGGTGCAACTGAAACAGGAATAGTGTTTGGTTTTTGATAAAATGTTTTCATCTGTGGTATCATGCCAGCTGTATTATATATATTTTGATCTTTGAGCTCAACATCTTTACAACCATTTTCCAGTAAACTAGCAAGATCTGATTGAAGACCACCATAACCTACATGTACAGGCAACATAATGTCAATATTAGAAGTCATTTACATTGATAATTTATCAAATATTATCATTCACATTTTATTACCATGTCTAGATCTAACCAGAGAATATTGGGTGACTGATGATGAGTATATTAGGTGATTGATAATGAGTACATTGGATGACTGATAATGAGTATATTGGGTGATTGATGATGAGTATATTGAAGGATTATTTAAGTATATGAATAGCTACAATATTTAAATCTATTAATTTTAGTAATTTTTAATAAGATACTTAATTAGAGTTCAACATGGCGTAGCTATTATTAATTTTGTTACTATTCTATTTCCGAGAAACTCATACTCATGGTACCATCTTGCCCAATTTGTTTTATTTTTTTATTTACAATGACAGATTTCATATAATGTTGAATCAGGGTATAGCCAGACTCTGGGCCCACAAAAGAGTGTCAAAACCTGGTCGTTGATAAACCAGCGGCTGCCAGGCAGGATACGCCCATATTTTGCAAGAGATGGATAGAAAACAAGCTAAAAAAAAAAAAAAATCGATTTTTTTGTACAATCAGGGGCCATAATCCTGGACGTTATAGTCTGAAATGTGCGAATAAACATGTATTTCAAGTTTCATCAAAACTGCATCAAAATTGTGTCCTCTAGAGGGTTCACGACCTTGATATACCATATATTTACAATATTTGCATACAAGGAGTGGACATTTTGTACGGCAGTTTTGGTTTGATTTGTACGAAATTCGAACTCAACCATCACAAGGGTGAAATGGTGATATATTCCAACATTTTTTAAATCAGATAAAAATTATGACCTCTAGATAGCGAATCCCTAGAGGGTCCACAACCTTGATATCAGGGAACAAAATGACCGGGTTTGCAACACACTTCGCGATCCATTTCTGACACTAGTGCGAGTGAATGGAAAAACTGATTAGCAAAATTTTAGTTGGGAATCTATAAAGCTGCAAATCATTTTTATTAGATATAGTACCGTCTATTTCAACATTGTGTCTCAAAATTCAATTGGCAATAAGAAATCCTTTCACGGTTACTCCAAAACATGAACATATCCTTTTTATTCTACATTTTACAACACAACTTTCATTCACTTATCCAGACATAATAAATGCATGGAAATATTTGTAATGCGTCTGGAAAACGTGACTATTATGCCGCATGTCTCCACCCGTCTTTCTAATGCTTAATCTGATCGTAATATTCATGATTTTCAATGTTAAAATAATTTTACAATAATCAAAGCAATGCTCTAAGTTTGACATATATACTCTTCCAAAAAAGTAGGGGATATTCAAAAACAATACAAAACTGCGGAAATGCACTGCTGTTTTTATTTGAGGTAACCAGTGTTTGTTAATAACAGGCCAATTGCCGGGGGATCATGTGGCTAAGTGGGTAAGACGCTGGCTCGCTAGCCTGGAAGTCGGGTGTTCGATCCCTGCATTGGCCGAGAAAGTTCATCCAGATTTTCTGGCGAGGTTTCCCCTTGTCAGTGATGCAGGACGGAGGGCCTGACAAGGACAGCTGTCCAGTCGTTCGGATGGGATGAAAAACCAAGGTCCTGTGTACATATTGGCGTGCATGTAAAAGATCCCTTGGCAGTTGGAATTCGATATAAGAGTAGGCCGTAGCACCGCTGCACAGGAAAAATTTCCCTCATAGCACACTGTATGGCGTTTTCATTAGCCCAGTTTAGGAGCAGAACAGTAGGACGTTAAACCCCATTTCATCTCATCTCAGGCCAATTGCCTACACATGAACATAAACAGTTTATATGGGCGGCTTATCTGACGGCCCCATTTCACTCGCAAAGAGATATACTGTCAAAAGTGAAAATGGACGTTTTTGATTTTTGTCTTAATGAGTAATTGCTCCAGCAATCCTCAGACATTCAGCAATTTGTCGTGGCATGCTCCTAATCAACTGTCAAATTACGATTTGGGACAATATGATCCACTCCTCTTGCAGTTCCACGGCCAATTCTTGCAGTGTTGTCGGTTGACGTTGAAGTTAAAGAACATGTCTCCCGATCAAATTAAACGTAACACACTAAAGCAAAGATAAGCTAAACAGTAAATCTTATGCAAGAACTGATAGGAAAGCAAACATGGATAGATAAACCAGCATGCGGCAGTTTTCATCAAACCTTCCTTAGAGTGTGAAATTTGACAATAAACCCCTCCCACGTGTATGGCGCTATTGTGTGTCGCATGTGCAGCTCAGTTCTTCATCTGTGTTCATGACTATTTATCATATCACAACCTGCATAGGTATTTGCATTTCAATATCCCCTATTTTTTTAGAAGAGTATATTGGTATATCAAGCAGGGAACAAAGGTGTAATGGTGAAATATTCAAACAGTTTTTCAAATCGGATAAAAAAATTTACCAGGTACCTCTAGAGGGACCACAAGCTAAAAACCCGATTTTTTGTACAATCAAGGGCCATAATTCAGGAAGTTAAGATTTGATATGCGCAAATATTGAAAGGAACCAAGATCTTTGTGTTATACATATGCATTTCAAGTTTCATCAAAATCAGATGAAAAATGTGACCTCTCCAGTGTCCACTAGCTAAAAACGTGATTTTTTGTATAATCAAGGGCCATAATCCATGTAGTTTCGATCCGATACATGCCAATATCGAGAAACCAATCTTTCAAGTTTTGTTAAAATTGGATAAGAATTGTGACCTGTAAATTGTCCACACACAAATTTTGTGGACGGACGGACAGATGGATGGACGGACGGACCGGGGCAACAACAATACGTCCACATAAAAATGTGGGCGTATAAAAATAGATTGAAAGCCACGCAAAGCCTGGATACATGGTCACAGAGCAGCTATGTCTGAAAAAATATAGCCATTGATAGCCGCTTAACTGAAAGGAAAACTTGAATGTTCAGGAAATTTGACAGGGATAACGAAATCTAATCTCTAAGCTTTTCCAGACACATAATAAATCTATGGAACAGTCCTAAAATGCTGAAAATCAACAGGGATATTCCTCTCAGATCCCAGTGCTTCACACCAAATTTGAAATAAATCAATTAAAAACTGTAGCCTCTTTCAAGTTCTCAAGGTTCAAAGTGAAACAAGGGCCATAACTCTAGATGTAATTAACACAGATTGCCGAATTTCAATAGGATTCTTTGTTTACTAATTTAAATAATGCATGTATAAATTGTTGGAATTCTGTAGGCTTCTTTGTTTTATTAATTTAAATAATAGTAGGCCAAAAAAAAATGTTCTGGTTCTCAGATAATAAAGATAGGTTGCCAGACAACGAAACATACGCCCACAGCAGCTAAATCATCAGGGCAGTCAACATGACTTGTCGCATATTTTTCGGTAATGAAACATTTATAATTAAGTAATTATCAGAAAATCATAGAATTTGTTTGGGTTTTTTTTTTACATTGTCAGATCTAGTAGATGTGCCGTAGCATAATATTCTGTGCGAAAATCTTCAATTTTATGTTAGGTTGAGTCTGCGCCGAGGAACATGAAGCATGAATAGATTGGTGGATGGAATACTTTGATAATTGTTTAAAATGTATCAGAGGCTAGATTATGATTTAAATATTCTCTTAGGGGGCAAATGGACTTTTTAATCGTTCTATGCTAAAAAAAAATAGTGTAGGGAGGCCATTTTGTTCAAGGGAAAGAACTCGTGATGAAAACTTAAAAAATCATATCGCACGAAATAGGTCCGTAATAAATTTATTTGTCTTCTTTTAAATACCAATCAAGCAGGGTGTAACGGTGATATAATAGAACGGTTTTTTAAATCGGATAAAAATAATAGAACGGTTTTTTAAATCGGATAAAAATTATGACTTCTATAGGGTCCACAAGCTAAAAACGTGATTTTTCGTACAATCAGGGGCCATAATTCAGGAAGTTACGGTCCGATATGCACGAATATCGAAAGGAACCAAGATCTTTGGGTTATAAACTTACATTTCAAGTTTCAACAAAATCGGATAAAAATTGTGACCCCTATAGGGTCCACAACCTTGATATACCATATTCTTACGCTATTTGGGAAACGAACGGCGGCCATTTTGTCTGTCAATTTTGGGCCGATTTTCACGAAATTCGAACACAGTCATCCTTAGGGTGTAACGGGGCCATAATTCAGGAAGTTACTGTCCAATATGCGCAAATATCAAAAGGAACTGAGATCTTTGGGTTATAAACTTACATTTGAAGTTTCAACAAAATCGGATAAAAACTGTGACCTCTATAGGATTAACAAGCTAAAAACGTGATTTTTCGTACAAACAGGGGCCAAAATCCATGAAGTTTCAATCTGATACATGCCAATATCGAAAGCAGCCGAGATCTTTTGGAGATAAACCTATATTTCAAGTTTTGTCAAAATTGGATAAGAATTGCGACCTGTAGAGTGTCCACAAACAAATTGTGGACGGACAGGGGCGACAACAATATACATCCACCTGAAAATGTGGGAGTATAAAAAAAAAAATGTTTTTAATAACCCCATTACAAATATTGCATAACTTTGAAACATCATGATGATAATACTGGATCCTAAAATTTAAAGCATTTTGAGATCTTATTTTCTGTTATAAGATCCTTAGAATCAGGTCTAATAATGTAATAATGAGATATCTAGAATTGTTTACCTGATATATTGCTATGAATGTTACCATCTTTTTGGGCATATACAACATCTGCTACACTTCTGAAAACAAGATTAAGTCATGTGATTGGGTTACTATGTTTCTTCCTAATTGAACCATTTTTTGGGGGTTGTTTATTGGTGAGGAAAAGAGGGCTACAATTTGTTTTACAAACATCTGGAACCTGTTGAGTTTATGCCAAGTTTTATTAGCAACAAGCCAATGGTAAGGTTGAAGGAGAGTTATTGTGTCCAAAAGTATCGACCAATCTAACGCCTAAGCAGTGTATGCTCATGATCATCTTCCAACTTTGTCAAGGCATTCACCAAATAAACTCTTACACCAAGTATAAACCTGTTAACAAGGTTTTCGGTAAAGTGGAAAGTTACTCGGGAACAGACAGCTACAGAGCGCTGAATATTGCTTAGGTTTGTCTTCTCATGATCCCAATACTTCAAATCAAATTTGATAAAAAAAATCTGTAAACGACCCAATTGTTAGCAGACCAGAGTTACTGGGGGTAACTCTGAAATAGAAAGTCATGGAAGGCTGAATATTGATAGGTTTCATCCCAATGTTTTAAACCAAATATGAAAAAAATCCATTCAAAAATATAGCCTCTAATGCGTTTACAAGGTTTTCTGAACTTAAATAACTGGGGTATGTATTTGTCCCAAAAGGAGTGGTGTTTTTTACCAAGTTTCAAAACTCTCACTCAATTATAATCTAAGTTTTTGTGTTCCAAAGTCTCAATCCAATCAAAATGCTCAACTTGAGCAGAAAAACATGTTCGCATCTTGCATCTTATAACTAAACAAACCATACAAATTCACATACTTCCAAGCAAAATGTTTTTACAAACCCAATTTTGGGCCAGATGAAAATTGTCATAAATGTCAAGTGAATGCTATGGTTATACTAAAACTGAATATTGGTAAAAATACCTAATACCTTCATCCTTGGTCAAGAATAGTGTATTGATTAAATTTTAGATCAAAACAATACCCCATAAATGGGAACACAAGGAATTAGTTTGAAAGTATGTTTGCCAACATCTTACTAGTAGTAGGTTACAAGAACCCTGTAGCTAGAAATTTTGGCTGCAGACCTATCTATACTCATTATCAAACTAGGTCAAGGTATTGACTTATCTTTACTTGACCTAAGCAAAAATTCTCATCATCAAATTCTGTTAACTCATTCACCAATTTAAAATTACGCCAAGTTTGAACATTCTACCACAGTGACGGACAGATAGACAAACATACAGACAGACAAATCCATTTTAATACAGGGTAGTTCCTTGCTAAAAACAACTAAATTTCATGACTGAATCAGAGAGTCTTGATTAAAAGACCATCCTTATAATTCAATTTGACTATAGAAGGATAAGAGTACACATGACCAAATGAATTAGACACTGTTCATTGCCAGCCCCACAATCCGCACTAATAAGAAAATGAATGAATGAGTGAAATGGGGTTTAATGCCCTATGTTTCTGCACCATTGACAAGGGGAAATATAGATTTTAGTGAAAGTAAATGGTTTACCTGGATGACTCCTCTGTTTTATGTACCGGAACAGCTGAACAAGAACCAAACAAAGAGCTTTTTAAAATTTCAAAACATGATTGAAATAACATGCTAGTCAACCAAATATACATATCATTAAACTTTAATAATGTGTATATTTCGTTGACTTAGCAACTTTCATTAAAGTAAATCTAGTATTTTTTGACAGGCATCAATTTCTTTTTCAGTATATGCTGCCGTAGAATTTGGGATAAAACAAGGTTTTTAAAATTTTGTGCAATCTTAAAGTCCCTGTGCATGATTAGAACAATACAGGAATTCATTGCCAACTACAATAAAAGTTAAATTTATAATTGGAATGTTAGTTTTCTAAAATGGTTTAATTCAGTTCAAAGATATGACGACACAAAATTCCATCCATCTGTGCTGCCTCTTTTTCTCTTTGCTCACTCTTTTCTCTTGACAGAATCTGTTGACAAAACTGGCCTACATTTCTTCGAAAAGTTGGTGTCTGCAGCCCTCTGTGTATCCTGCCTAATACTAGTACAATGTATGCAAGAGGAGCTGACACATTATAAAAAATACTTGAATTATTTAAACATTGTATTAATCCCATTCAGACATCCTGAATAAAAATATTGTTTAAAAAAGAGGAGTATTAAAATATTTGGCTGAAGAAGTGAAAAGTTGCCATTGAAATGAGAGTCCATATTAAAGATTTGTTGTTTAATTACATACCACTGTACATTCCATTCTGTGCCAATTTCTTACGATTTTTACGTTTTCGGCAAAGCCATATACTGAATACACAGAGTGCTAGCCAAAGAGTACCACCAATTGTACTGATTAGCATCCCAATAAACCATGGTTCTTTCATTATGTTTGGTTGTTCAGGACCTTGAAATCAGAACAAATACTTTTGTATATTACTGCAGTTCAACAAATGCCAACCAGCTCATCAGTCATCAGTGTTTTAATGGACAATTAAAATTTAATGTGCAAACATTGGCAAACAAGCTAATTACACTGTTATACCCTGACCAATATTTTATCAGTGAATTCAGATTTTCATATAGGAAAGATACATTAAACAGAAACCAACGTTAGATTTTCAAATGTATATTGCAAGATCGTGGGGCACTGAATATAGATAAGTTTTCTCCTTTCATGACACTCTTTTTTCACACTAAATTTTTTTAAAAATCTGTTACAAATCGTGTTGAAAAGATTATGAATATCGATAGGGAGATAAAACCCCAATGCCTCAAGCCAAATATGAAAAAGATCCATTAAAGACTCAAGCATTTGTCGCGTTCACAAGGTTTGTCGTAAAAGGGGGCATAACTCCTGAACATAAAGTAGCGGAACACTGAATAATGATTGGGTTCATCTCTCATGACCCCAGTACTTCACAACAAATTGTCGGTCAGTTTCGGTAAGATTTCCATGAAATTCGACTGTATGTTCTTTTCACACCAATGTGTACATGGGACCCAGTGCTTCACGTTTAAAAAAAATAGAGGAGCCATAAAAAGCTCTTCTAAAATTACAACAGCTGAAAATCGCTCCTGCAAATATAGCACTTCTCAACTCAAAATAGAGGAGCAATCCATTGTTTAGAAGGACCATTCATGTATTTCATAAAAGAGTAAAAGTACTGTATTTTTTCTCTGTGTTAATACTTAGAAAATAAAGATATGTGTTTCGATATTTATTAGAATAAATAAAAAGAAAAATGAAATTTCAGTATCAATCTTTCATCTTAAGTTTAACTTTGACGCCCTGATAATTTTGGCACAAAGTCTGCCCCGTAACAATTCGATGTTTCCCGTTTTGTCTCCAATGAAAATATAAACATTGAAAAAATTCAGAACAATGTTCGCAAATAAAGTTTATGTATAATTTCTATAATTTACAGGACAATTTGAGAAAATTAAACAATTTGGTCCAAAGAGTATTTTTTCCATACATGTATATAATTTTTAGCGTAAATAAGTCGGAATGTGAGAAATGAATTCCAGGGGGCGCGATAAACTGTCCTCTGCACGTGATTAATAATAGTATAGTGTCATGTACAGGTGCAACGACGTGTTTGATATTCCATTTTATACCGATATTTTAGAATCCGAATTCTACACATTTCTCAACGACAGGGTCATAGACCTTGAGAAGCATGTTTTACTAAGCGGAATCCACATCAAGACTTACAGCTAGTGATATTCAAAACCATTTAATCGTGTTTGTGTGCATGGATAATGTGTGACGTGGAAAATTATAAATGACAGGTCAGTTACTAATGCGACATTTCGAGGCCTGTCTGATTAAACTCTATATTTATTTCTATTTATGTAAATTATTTTCTTTTTTGAAAACCATTAAAAAACACACACACACACTTAGGCCTATAAGCTACATATTTATAGAAAATCGCGTGAGAAGCTTGAATCCTCGATGCAACTGCGTACGTGATCAATTGAAAATTTGGAAAACTGTTCTCACTGTATCCATTTTCTTTCTTTTTTGTACGTATTTATTTTAAGGTTCAATAATTATTCTCTGATTCGACCTATCATCATTTTTTTGTTGGTCATATTCAACCAAGAGGAAATTTCAAAACAATAGCTGAATGTTCGCTACCCAACCATTTTTTTCATTGGTTGGATGGGTCTAACCGCGGGAAAGTTTACTGTTAGTGTTACTATTGGCTGACAGCATGCTTGCAGGAATCAAACAATCTTATTTGCATATTGCATGCTTTATAGTATAATGACTGGATCGGTAACCTCAACGACCAACATGTATTACCTTTTATTAGTGTGCTACTGAGTTTGCCATTTATAGAATAAAAATAAGGCATATTTTCACGTTAACAAAAATATTTACTTGACGCATTGTAGGTTTCCACTAATTTCCAGCACCCAGAATCAAATTTAGCGATATTTTCTTGTGGGCCAGAAACACAATTCCCATTAGAAAATTATTCGAGGATTGGTAACATGGGCTTTATTTGCAGTTTGGGGTTCGTTTTTTGACAAATGTAAAATATGACGAGAGCGATTTTATCCTCGGAGGAGAGCAATAAAAAGCTCTTCTATTTTGACGTTTGCGCAAACCGAGAAGAGCGAGAGCAATCGCTCGCGTCAAACGTGAAGCACTGGGGACCACGCTTTTTTCATCCCATCCAAACGACTATATGTTGTCCCTTGCCAGGCCCAATGTCCTGCACCATTGACAAGAGGGAACACACAGGAATACAGTACCTCCAGTTTAGTGTGCTATCTTCTTACTCACTGAGTAACGATGGCTCACCAGGAGCGACAACATAATAGGATTCGTCATCTCATTGTCCGAATTCTTCACACCAAATTAAAAAAAAATCTTTTCAAAAACCCCCAGCAATGAAAAATCAGGAGAATCAAGGAGATTTTTTTATTCATCAAAAAGCTTCATAGTTATTCGTCATTAATACTATATTCACAAGCTTTATTGATTGCAGTATTGAACACGTTCCATAACGCTTCTGTACAACAAATGGAAATTCTTTTCTCTAGGATTCTAAAAATTTACAAATATGTAGGCCTAACGTTTTCTGTTTGCAGGAGAACTGTCAAAATCGCTTACTTACTATGATGAAAAAAAGACAGTTATATGGATCGAATCTTGTACATTTCTCCATTTTACAATATACTCTATTTACTTTATTTATAATAATCACACACATACACATGTGAGTGCTGACAAGCATGTTACCAGAATTACAAACTTCCGGTCAAATTGGGTCAATCAGGAGGAAGATTTATGAAACAGACGTAAAGAGAGTTACCTCCCTTTGTGAAAATAACAAGCGGTTGCCATAGAAGATATGCCAACATTTTGCAAGAGATGGATAGGGAACAGGCTAAACAAGCCAATAGTGAGGCTGACGTCCCCCGCCGAAATCCCAAAATAAATAGATGACACACATTAATTAATCGCACATTTATTTTTTTTTTTTTTCAAAAGTATCAAGCAATCAAACTATACACTAAGTTTCATCACTCTCAATCAGATAGAAACAAGATTATCTTGTCCCAAAGCATTGACCAATGAAATTGATTAGCTCTGCTTAGCTTCAGCTCGAAATGTTAATCATTGAACTCAGTCAAGACATTCACCTAATGAACATTTACATCAAGTCTAAACATTCTACCTTAATTAAAAGCAGAAAATTCTCACCATCGAAATTAGTCAAGGTAATTATATAATGAACCAAAGTTATCGTGCCTCAAAGCATCAACCAATCAGATTGCTTATTTCTGCTTACCGTAGGCAGACAATGTTCATCATAGTCACCTATGCCAAGTGTGAACATTCTAACTCAATTAGAATGAGAGTTTATTGTGTTCCAAAGTCTCGACCAATCAAATTACTTATCGCTCTGCTTACCCTGAGCAGAAAATGCTCATTATCAAACTTAGTCAAGGTATTGATGTAATGAAACTATACACAAAGTTTCACCACTCTCATGTAATTAGAACTAAAGTTATCGTGTCAAAAAGCATCAACCAATCAAATTGCTTATCTCTGCTTACCCTAAGCAGAAAATGCTCATCTTTGAACTCAATCAAGGCATTGACCTAATAAACACCTACACCAAGTTTGAAGATTTTAGCTCAATTAGAAGGAGAGTTATTGTGTTCCAAGGTCTAAACCAATCAAATTGCTTTATCGCTCTGCTTACCCTGAGCAGAAATAGCTCATTATCGACTTAGTCAAGGTATTGATGTAATGAAACTATACACCAAGTTTCATCACTCTCACTTAATTAGAACTAAAGTTATCGTGTCCCAAAGCATCAACCAATCAAATTGCTTATCTCTGCTTACCCTAAGGCGAAAATGCTCAACTTCGAACTCCATTAAGGCATTGACCTAATAAACACCTGCACCAAGTTTGAACATTGTAGCTCAATTAGAAAGAGAGTTATTGTGTCCCAAAAAGTGTGACAGACAGAAGGAAAAACCCATTTTAATAGTCCCCTGCTTTCTTCGAAAGGCGGGGTACAAAAAAAAAAAAGTTATTTTACCTACAATCAGGGACCATAATACATGCAAATATTGAAAGGAACCCAGGACTTTGGTATATAACTATATATTTTAAGTTTCATCAAAATTGAATAAAAATTGAATAAAAATTGTGACCTCCAAGTGTTCACAATCTTTGCATTACATACTTTTATACAATTTGCGTATAGAGCGGCCATTTTGTCGGACAGTTTCGGTTTAATTTTTATGAAATTCAACTGTCATTATGGTGTTACAATGATAGATTTACACATTTTTTTAAAATTAGCTAAAAATGTGATTTTTTTGGAAATGAAATGAAATGGGGTTTAACGTCCTACTGTTCTGCTGATTTTTTTGGTACACACATCAATGTTTAAATTTATTGAACTGGTGAACAATGAATATTGTATATTGCTAAATAATTAAAGAAAATTTGTACTGAATGTATTTGCTAATAGACAATTGCAATAAGATTTTCACATAATAATTAATTTTTATTACTCTATCAGACTGACAATCATTAATTATTAACAAATTATACTAGATCATCAATTTTACTTATTCTACTGAAAAGAAAACAAAAAAAATTACATACCGATAATAAACATCTTACTCCATGCACCAACTCCAGAATTTGTGCGTGCAGCAATTTTAATGCGATAGGTTGTTTCACTATCAATATTTTTTATGTGAATACCATATGTTGTTCCATTAGCACGCAAGCTACAGTTATGTTTCTTATCATTATCCATACAATAAATCTGAAGAAAGAAAAATTAATTACAATAAAACCATTCAATTTGTAATTTTTGTTAACAGAAGGATTTAAGGTATCTTATGATGGAGTTTGAGTCAACGTGCACTAAACTTTACCAAATATAACAAGCCATTGGTGAGGCTGTTGTACCCTGTCGAAATCCCAAATAAACAAGCCAACGGAAGAGGCTGATGTACCAATTCAAAATCCCAAATGTAGCATTTCAACAGTGAGGCTGATGTACCCTGTCAAAATCCAACCAGCGGCTGCCAGGCAGGATACGCCCACATTTTCGAGAGATGGATAGAGAACAAGCTAAAAGAAAGCGATTTTTTGTACAATCAGGGGCCATAATTCAGGAAGTTAAGGTCCGATATGCGCGAATATCGAAAGAAACCAAGATCTTTGGGTTATAAACTTACATTTCAAGTTTCAACAAAATTGGATGAAAATTGTGACCTTTATAGGGTCCAGAACCTTGATATACCATATTTTTACGCTATTTGAGAACGAACGGCGGCCATTTTGTCTGTTAATTTTGAGCTGATTTTCATGAAATTCGAACTCAGTCGTCCTTAGGGTGTAACGGTGATATAATAATAGGGTTTTTTAAATCGGATAAAAATTATGACCTCTATAGGGTCCACAAGCTAAAAACGTGATTTTTCATACAATCAGGGGCCATAATACAATCCGATATGCGCAAATATAGAAAGGAACCGAGATCTTTGGGTTATAAATTTACATTTCAAGTTTCAACAAAATCGGATAAAAATTGTGACCTCTATGGGGTCCACAACCTTGATATACCATATTTTTACGCTATTTGAGAACGAACGGCAGCCATATTGTCTGTCAATTTTGGGCCGATTTTCACGAAATTAGAACTCAGCCGTCCTTAGGGTGTAACGGTGATATAATAATACGTTTTTTTAAATCGGATAAAAATTATGACCTCTATAGGGTCTACAAGTTAAAAACGTGATTTTTCATACAATCAGGGGCCATAATTCTGGAAGTTACGGTCCGATATGCGTGAATATCGAAAGGAACTGAGATCTTTGGGTTATAAACCTACATTTCAAGTTTCAACAAAATCGGATAAAAATTGTTTCCTCTATAGGGTCCACAAGCTAAAAATGTGATTTTTCGTACAAACAGGGGCCATAATCCATGAAGTTTCGATCCGATACATGCCAATATCGAAAGCAGCCGAGATCTTTTGGAGATAAACCTATATTTCAAGTTTCGTCAAAATCGGATAAGAATTGTGACCTGTAGAGTGTCCACAAACAAATTGTGGACGGACGGACGGATGGACAGAAGGACGTACGGATGTCCGGACGGACAGGGGCGACGGCATAATATGTCCACATGAAAATGTGGGCGTATAAAAATTATGCTAATTAAAGAGCCATAACTCTGAAACAAAAAATGAGATCCCATCAAACTCGGGCAAGTCATTATCCTTTTAATAGTATACCTCAATTAGAAATGTGTTGTACTTAGTGTTTAATGTCCGCTTCCACCTAAGGTGATATCACAGACAAGTTGTCTCATTTTCATTTTTTTTTTATTATCTTAGTGCACGTGCAGGGGTCTTTCCTGTGGGAGGAAACTGGAGTACCTGGAGTACTCAATTAGAAGCAAACAAACTCATTTTAATAGTCTCCTGCTTCCCACCATGGGTGGATGACAATGAAACTACTGTGTATCTGATGAATAATTATTCATTAACATCCTTTTTGAGTTGTCTATATACCTGGTGTTCCATGTATGGTAATATTCAAATCAACTTATTTAACAAAACTTACTTCATAAGCTATGATATTGCCATTTCTATGTTCTCTATTTGGCTGTGACCATCTGACCTGTATAGCATTATTATCTTGTTTATCAATCATGATATTTTCAGGTGGAGACGTTGGAACTAAGAAAATATAAAAAAAATTAACATTTAGGCATGATTCCCACTCAACTGGCATCAATCAAGTCAAATTCTGCTACAATAAAATGTTCAAATAATCATTTATATGGCGATAACTTATTGATCACCAAAATTGGACAGTTTTAGGCACAATAGGCTACTGTATTAAGGGGTGAGGCTACCCGAAAAATGTTTTCTGAAATTTTAAAACTATTGAATTGAAAATGGTACAAGTAGTTAGGAAATGTAATAAACAAGAGAAAACTAACATTAAAACGAAAGAAAAAAAAGTTGTTGCTAGGGTAACACATTTTTTGTAAAATGGTACACCATATCTCTGGCACTAATAAAGATAAATGTCTCATTTTCGGACTGCTTATTCTTCAATGAAATGAAATGAAATGAAATGGGGTTTAATGTCCTACTGTTTTGCTCCGAACTGGGCTAATGAAGATGGGCATACGCCATACAGTGTGCTATGAGGGAAATTTTGCCCGGACAGCGGCACTACGGCCTACTCTTATATCGAATTCCAACTGTCAAGGGATCTTTTACGTGCACGCCAATGTGTACACGGGTCCTCGGTTTTTCGTCCCATCCGAACGACTAGACAGCTGTCCTTGTCAGCCCCTCCGTCCTGCATCACTGACAAGGGAGAACCATGCCGGAAAATCTGGATGAACTTTCTCGGCCAATGCAGGGATCGAACACCCGACCTCCAGGCTAGCGAGCCAGCGCCTTACCCACTTAGCCACCGTGATCCCCTATTCTTCAATGATAATCCTAAAACCCTGAAGGATAGCATGAAGAAAATGGTAACTGTTAAAATGTTGGATGAAATAAAAACAAAACTTAAAGATCTAGTAACTGTAAGTATGTTTGAGACTATGATTCAAGACCATATGGACACATTTTTTCGTGATATTAAATTCAGAGTGCGGGATCAAGTCAGAGACATCCTGTCAATAAAGCTAGAAAAACAAGGAAATGAATATGAGAGAGACAAACTGGAGATAGAGAGTCTTAGACAAGACATTATGGACTGCAGTCGATTAGTTGGGTTACTCACAGTCACTGCGCTTAATATTAGCCTCTATAGTGTTAATGAGCAATTGTTGACGCTGGACCATGTGTCGGCATATAAAAATGAAGAACATAAAACCTACTTGATTCTTTGGTTGGAACTTTAATTTTATCACTACAGACAGACTTTACATCGCCACCAAATGCTTGCACACAGATCTCATACCATGCATAACTATGTAAACCAGAAAGCGTGTATGAAGTAATATGAGGATCATATATTCTTTGGCTTTCTGTGCTTCCATATTTCATTTTACGCAGATCTTTGATTTGTTTATATTTAATAATATAACCATCCATAGCATCAAATCCTTTCAGAGGCTGAAACAAATGAAGAAGACAGAAATTAATAACCATTAAGACATGCACACTTACTTTGTCTTACAAAATTTTTCTAGTATGGGTCATTCGGAGTTAAATCAACCAACGATGTAAGCCACTGTTGAAAATTTGTTTATGTTGCCAGGCAACAAAACATACGCCCATATCAGCTAAATTGTCCGAGAAGCATATTTATTCTTTTGTAGGTAACGAAATTAATACAGATCAGATGATAACTTTTGTCGTTTGAGCATTCACAAAGTGCAACAAAGTGACACAAGGGCCATAACTCTAGAAGTTTTATACGAGAATTGCAGAAATTTCTGCGGCAATAGGCTTTTTTGTTTCACTTATCTAAATTTTACATATAAATTTCATCACGATCGGACGAGCATTCACAAGGGGTTCAACCAAGTGAAACAAGGGCCAGAACTCTAGAAGTAAAAGGTAGGTTGCTATATTAGCATTAGCTTCTAAAATTCATTAGTCACTGTGGTTAATGCATGAAACAAGAGAATCGCTATAAACGCTGCAATATACACGTCAACATTCCTGGTTTGATTGATGTGGTACTTTTTAAAATGAAGAGCATGGGTATCGGGCATTCACCAAACACATAAGGGATCATCCTTAGGGTATAAGAAATAGGTATGCAAACTTTCAAGATAGGTTGCCAGGCAACAAAACATACATCCACAGCACCAAAGCCGTCCGGGCAGTCAACAGAGAGAGAGAGAGAGAAATGGGGTTTAACGTCCACTCGACACAAACTAGGTCATTTTGGGACTAGCATATGGTTTAATTTTATTTCAACAACTCGCTTGCGCGTAGGGGTCTTTAGCAGTGGGAGGAAACCGGAAGACCCGGAGAAAACCCACGAGGTTGGACAGGCGACCCTACTCCTTGTCACGTACAACCGGGGATTCGAAACCACGCCAGTCGACTCAATGACAGACTTTATGATACAGCGCGCACGCTAACCATTCAGCCATCCAACCCCCCCCCGGGCAGTCAACAAGTGTTGTCGCATATTTTTTCTTTTGTCACTAATGAGAAATTCACAACACATGAAAATTTGATTACCAGTAATAACCCATGAAGTAATTATCAGAAAACATTAGAATTTGTTTCGATTGTTTGTCTCTTGACCTTAAACATTTTATATTAACTTTAGCCTCTAGAGCATCTTCAAGATTTTTCAAAGTGATCAAGGCCATAACTTTGGACCAAACAATTGAAATTCTTCAATTAAAAGAGGCTACATAAGTCTAAAACTTCTACAATTGAAGCTATCAATTATCAGTCTCATAAAATGAACAGAAAGACACAACATTATAGTAAGGCAGCACACGCTTATAAGCCAAAACAAAATTTCCAGGGCAAGTCTCATGACAATTCAGGTAACAATCACTGTAACGCAGGTATCATTTAATCTTGTGTATCTAGCACTAATTTCTTTCACATTCGTTTAATATCTAATCTTTGTTTAAAAATTCGTAAAAATCGCTTAAAATCACCAAAAATCATCTAATTTGTACTTGTGTCCAGTTTAAAGCTGACTGATTAATTTGATACTTCAAAGAAGGATTGTTGAAAACTGCCGCGTGCTGGTTTATCCTATCCATGTTTGCTTTCATCTTGGTTTTTGCATAAGATTTACTGTTTAGCGTATCTTTGCTTTAGTGTGTTACGTTTAATTTGCAATGAGACGACTTCAACATGATGAACATCTACGTGCTATTGGCATGCTTCAAATGGGTTCTACACAGCGATCAGTAGCCAACATGCTTAATGTGTCACAGTCTGTGATCAGCAGACTGTGGAACCGGTACCAACAAATATACAATGTTGATGATAGACCTCGTTTAGGTCGTCCTAGAGCCACTACACAAGTCCAGGATCGATACATTTGTACACAGGTCCTGCGAAATCGAGGACAAATGGCCAATCAGCTTTCTGTAAAGTTATACCAAGTTACAGGAATTCGAGTTACACCCCAAACGATTAGAATGGTAAATAGGTGTCAATGGTGTAGGCAGCGTAGAAATTGGGGAAATCGTCGATGGGCGCGTGTAATGTTCTCAGATGAGTCCAGATTTACTTTGGATTTCACTGATAGGCGTGCTCGCGTTTGGAGGCATGTAAATGAGCATCATGCTAACGTTAACGTCAGACAGCATGAGAGATTCGGATGTGGTTATGTTATGGTGTGGGGAGGAATCACCATGACTGGCAGAACGGACTTGCATATTGTTGAAGAAAGGGTCACTGGTGTGTACTACCGTGACCACATCCTGGCACCAATAGTTCTGAACTTTGCTCAATGTGCAAGTTGACGTTTCATCTTTCAAGATGATAATGCCCGTGCCCACCGTGCTCGTGTCGTGAATGACTAACACCAGCGTCACCATATTGTCCATATGCCAATGGCCAGCCATGAGTCCTGACCTTTCCCCTATTGAGCATGTCTGGGACATGATCGGGAGACGTGTTCGTCTGTAAGAATTGGCCCAAATTGGGATTGAACGGTTGATTAGGAGCATGTCGTAACGAATTGCTGAATGTCTGAGGATTGGTGGAGCAATTACTCATTTTTAAGACAAAAATCAAAAACGTCCATTTTCACTTTTGACAGTGTATCTCTTTGCTAGTGAAATGGGGCTGTCAGATAAGCCGCCCATATGAACTGTTTATGTTCATGTGTAGGCAATTGGCCTGTTATTAACATACACTGGTTACCTCTAATAAAAACAGCAGTGAATTTCCACAGTTTTGTATTGTTTCTGAATATCCCCTACTTTTTTTGAAGAGTATAATACAAGCGCGCACATGCTAACCATTCGGCCAACGAACCCCCCTGAACCATAAAAAGTTGCCAGCATCTGCTTTTTGAATTACGGATTTTGATACTCCTCCACATATTTCAAGCACTGTACAGCTTTACTCCCAGAATATTTGTTGAATAACACCCCCCCACCCACACTTATATGCAACAGAACCTGGTGTTGTACATGATAAAATAACCAAAATTGATTGGTTTAATAGGTGATTATATTTCCTTGGTTGTTGCCGGTGAAGCGACAAATTGAGCAGTCATATCTAAATATATCAGATATCCGCGACCATCACCGCGGTGGTCGTTGGTGATGAAAAATCACTAGCGACTGGGTGCACACACTTGGCAATTTGTAGGTTTTTAATTGTAGGCGACAGAAATCGCTTATGTCGCAACATAGTGTGCGCCCAAGCTTTAAAACATTCTAGGAATATAACAATGTTTTCCACCAAAATATAGAATGAAATACAACAAGAACACAATAAAAACACACATGAATTCATCATCCCCTTGTACTTACCCTCCAGGTCACTTTAATTGCAGTAGAATTCAGTGATTCTCCTTTTAATACCTCAATAACCATGCCATCTAGTTTTTCTTCTATTTCTTTCCGGGTTAAATTAACACGAGAATGGGGTTTCCGTCTCTCTACAAAAATAAATATCTTAAGTTAGAAACAATCATAGCTTTTCAGAATTACTTGTTTATTTTAACAATTTGTTGCTGACTGGAAGAAAACTTGAATGCATGACAAGAATGCAAAAAATGTGAGTGGTGGCTGTTTGTAATATTATCATACCAAATTTTATTTAATGCAAAGGGTAAGAAATTGACTGAGAGGTGAAAAACTGTGTGGCAGTGCATTTTATGTAGAGGTGTGTTTATTAACCGATGGGTTAAAAATGAATGTCATTAATGTGTATTATTTAATACCCAGTGTGTTTTCTCAATAGTTGCTACGATTGCACCAAAAGGATGACCAGAAGGTTTTATCTGATACTCACATGTTAAATCAAAATTTGGGAGGCAAAACTGTTTTACAGTGCAATTTCTCATTCAACAGTGTATTTTAAGCATTGATATAAGAATCTATGCCAGAGTTTCATCGCTCTCACGCAATTAGAACAAAAGTTATCGTGTTCCAAAGTCTCAACCAATCAAATTGCTCATCTCTGCTTAGCCTTAGTGGAAAAGGCGCATGAACGAACTATGTCAAGGCATTCACGTAATAGACACACTAGTTTTGAACGTTCTACCTCAATTAGGAGAGTTACTTTGTTCCAAAGTCTAGACCAATCAGACTAAAGTTTCTATTTGCCTAAGCAGAAAATGCTCAGCATCAAACCTTGGTAAGGTATTGATGTAAAAAGGGATCACGTGGCTTAGTGGGTAAGACGCTGGCTCACTAGCCTGGAGGTCGGGTGTTTGATCCCTGCATTGGCTGAGAAAGTTCATCCAGATTTCCTGCGTGGTTTCCGCTTGTCATTGATGCAGGACGGAGGGCCTGACAAGGACAGCTGTCTAGTCGTTCGGTTGGGACGAAAAACCAAGGTCCTGTGTACACATTGACGTGCAAGTAAAAGATTCCTTGGCAGTTGGAATTTGATAGGCCGTAGCGCCGATGCCCGGGCAAATTTTTCCTCATAGCACACTGTATGGCGTATGCCCGTCTTCATTAGCCCAGTTTAGGAGCAGAACAGTAGGACGTTAAACACCATTTCATTTCATTGATGTAAAAAAAAATATACACGAAGTTTCACCACTATCACTCAATCAGAATCAAAGTTGTCAAGCTCCAAAGTTTTGACCAATCAAATTGCTTATCGCTTTGCTTACCCTGAGCTGAAAATGCTCTCATAATCAAACCTAGTCAAGGTATTGATGTGATGAAACTATACACCAAGCAGAAAATGCTCATCTTTGAACATATCACACTGTATGGCGTATGCCCGTCTTCATTAGCCCAGTTCGGAGCAAAACAGTAGGACGTCAAACCCCATTTCATTTCATTTTCATCTTTGAACTCCATCAAGGCATTCACCCAATCTACGCCTACACCAAGTATAAACATTCTACTTCAATTTGAAGGAGAGTTATTGTGTTCCAAAGTCTCGACTAATCAAATTGCTTATCGCTCTGCTTACCCTGAGCAGAAAATCCTCATTATCAAACTTATCAAGGTATTGATGTAATGAAACTATACACCATCAAGGCATTGACCTTATAAACACCTACACCAAGTTTGAACATTCTAGCTCAAATAGAAGGAGAGTTATTGTGTCCTAAAAAGTGTGACGGACGGACGGACGGATGGACCGACATACATGTGGACAAACCCATTATTGTCCCCTGCCTTTCTAAGAAAGCAGGGAACAATAATGTAGAAGATGCCACTTGTAGTTTAAAAGTATGACTAAGTCTCTAATATACCCATCAATATAGAATACACAAATAAATCATTCAATAGTCCCACATGCATACCTCTAGTAACAATGATATCCGATACATCACTAGGAAGACCTATACCATGTGAATTCCTTGCACGAATCACAAACACATAGTGGGTACTGGGCAACAAATTTCTAACAGTAATACTTTCTCTTGTTACAGAACTAGAAGCAATCTTCCAACCCTATTTAAAAATAAGAGAATTACATTATTAGAAATTTCTTTAAGATACAATTACAATTAGAAAATCATGCTAGTTACTATATAATCTATTCTGATAGTCAAATAAGTCATTTTCAATTCCTTTCGAAAACTACAATATTGCAAAACATGACTAACTTTAAGCTAGCTTACCTTTGCTGCCTGTAAGCAAACAAACAAGCTAGCTTAAGTTCACCTTCTCCTGAAAAAGCTTAATTTGTCTGAATGGATCAGCTTTAAAGTTGTCAACCAATGTGCCTTCTTGAATACGCTTTTTGTCAACTTTAAAGTTAAATGACAGACTCTACCATCTAATCATTTATAATATCTAACAGACATCATCAGAATCATCAATGTTACACTCTACTAGTTTAAATATTTATAATATCTAATAACAACATCAGAATCACCAACGATACATTCTACTAGTTTAAAATTCTTGTGAATTCAAACTAGCTCCATTTATGCCGTCTGAACAGCATATACATTCTTTTGTATGAACATCTTTTAGATATATGAAATAATATGCATGAGAATAAATTCTTTTACCTCAGGTGTTTCATGACTGAAATATTCCACAATAAATTCAAAAACTGGTGAATCACCATGATTTCTGTTTGGTTGCCATGTTAAATGAACAGATGTATCTGTCACATCTGTAATAATAGGTTTAGATGGTGCTCCTGGCAATGTGGATGTTTTCTTTACTCTATGATAAGGACCTTGACCTAAGCATAAATAATCATAAATTTCCATAAATAGGTGGGGCAGGGTAATCTCAAAAGTGGAGTGACCCCAACAAATTGTAAAAGAAACGTATGCAGTTGGGTTCAATCATAGTTACATTAGACATCATACTCAAATTCAGCCAAAGTCTGCCAAGGCAAAATGAAGCGATTAACACGGTGGTCTCCAAGAAGTTTCTGAGAGCGATGTCTTGTAACCAGTGCATTTCAGTGGTGGGACAAAAAAATAGATTTTTGTTAAAATCTTACAATACAAAATGGTTACAGAGGAGAAATGTTCCAAAAATAACAAATTTGACTTAAACAATAAAGATAGTTTGCAGGGCAACGAAACATACACCTACAGCAGCTAAATCGTTCAGCGGGTCGACAAGGGTTGTCGGATATTTATTCTTTTGTAGATAATTGGGGGCATTAACAAGACAATTTCATACAGATCAGATTAAAAATGTTGTCGTTTGGGGGTTCACAAGGTTCTACAAACTGAAACCAGGGCATTTTACTAATTTAAATAATGCATATACATTTCATACAGATCGGATGATAACTTTTGTCATTCGAACGTTCACAGGGTTCACAAAGTAAAACAAGGGCTATAACTCTTGAAATAATTGATGGAAATTGATTAAATAATTCAATAGACTTCCATTTCACAAATTTAAATGGTGCATATAAATTTCATACATATCGGATGATAACTTTCATTAATCGAGCATTAAAGATGGGTGATTTAATGGTATATATGGACCAAAAACATATTCAAACTAATTAATTTGTCATAATTATGCTTCAAATCCTTCTCAAACATTGTAATTGCAAAGGAATGCCCTACTATTAAAATTCGATCAAACCAGGTCATGTTTACGTCACGTCTTGGGATTCAGAGGAGAATTCATTGCATATATAAGACGGTCGCTTACTATTTATTACAAATATCGAATCCTAATTAAATTATCAGATTATCCACTACCCGCGTCTTTTTCCGTCATTTTTATCTCAGAAAGTATTGTACATTTAACTCTTCATAAAGTGCAGAAGTCGGGCTGTTGATTAGGGGAACCCTTACATTTTTGTCATGAATGTTTTTCGGGGAATCCAGTATTTTTCTAGTAAGATTGGATATCTCTACTTTCCATATATACCAAAATTGCCATACTTTTATTGGAAATAACTACCCGATAAATACTTTTCTGGGAACCCATCTTTAACAAGGTTGAACAAAGTGAAACAAGGGTCATAACTCTAGAAGTAATTATTGTAAATTGCTGAAATTCAATAGTATTCGTGGTTTACCTAATCGAAACGATGCATATAAATATCATACAGATCGGATGGTAACTTTAGGCATTAGAGGGTTCACAAGGTTCAACAAAGTGAAACAAGGACCATAACTCTAGACGTAATAAAAGGAAATTGCTGAAATTCAACAGGCTTCTTTCGTTTCACTAATTTAAATAATGCATATAAATTTTACTAAGATCAAATGATCCCATTTGGCGTTAGAGCATTCACAATATTCAACAAAGTGAAACAAGGGCCATAAATTTCATACTGATTGGCAAATAACTTTAGATGTTATAGCGTTCACAAGGTGCAACAAGGGCCATAACTCTAAAAGTAATAAACAGAAATTGCTGAAATTCGATAACATTCTTCTTTTTACTAATTTAAATGATGCATATAAATTACATACAGATCGGCAGATAACTTTTCATGTTTAGAGCAATTAAAAGGTGCAACAAAGTGAAACAAGGGTCATAACTCTAGAAGTAATATATGAAAATTGCTGAAATTCAATAGGCTTCTTCGTTTCACTAATTCAAATAATGCATATAAATTTCAAAAAGATCGGATGATAACGTTTGGCATTAGAGCACTCACAAGGTTCAACAAAGTGAAACAATTGTTTTTCGAACAACTAGTTAGATTATGTATAACAATCCTTGTTAAACTAAATCGGGGAGATTTCAATTTGACAGTTTTTAAGTATTTCGAAGTGTTTTGGTTCTGTTATGCAATATCTTTTTCGACGTTCCAAAGTAAACGTACGGTGCTAAGACCACCTAAAGATAAGTTTTAAATGTTCCTACTATTAATTAGAACAGGTTTCGCTTTAGTTTATATTTTACGCTGACATTTTATTGCTTTAAATCGTCCTAGTGCAAAAATGGAAAACTTGACCTTTTGACCTCCGGTGAACTAATGTGAATTTAGCAAGTTTACATTTTTACGGAAACAGTGATTACTTTTGATCATTTTCAGTTTATTTTTATGATACAAGAATGGCTGCGCATTCACTGTCAGTGCAAATAAACTCATTTGACCCAAAATATCTCGAAAACGCCCCAAGAGAGGACTGATTACCATACGGCATCGTATTCTACGCAAAATTTTACTATAGAAAAGTTGGATCTGGTTTTGTGCCCATTTGATGGACACCCCTGCGCACTGAGCCTCCGGTCTATTGGTATGTCTTTGCACCATCTTCACCAGGGTAAAACTAGAAGTGGTTTAGATACATCTAGTTGTTAAGAATTTGCACCCTGATATTAGTTCAGAAATGATTATGTGATTCGTGTTTACAGCCCTTGTGGTACCAATTCCAGGAATGCACTGAAAATGAGTATGACAGTTTCAGGAGACCCTAAACTAGTCAATGTACTTGCGTTGTTTGGATCCCTTTTTAGTCGTGAATTTACATTGGTTTTGATGAATTGTTAAGATTGCCGGATGTTTAACATGTGTATAAGCTAGAAACACCTGGATACACTATAGAAAGCACCATTACAGTCAGTTTTTCAAAAGAAATTTTGCACCTGTTTAGAGAGAACTGTGCCAGAATCTCCCCCCACCCCCCTCATAGAGTGGGAAGCCCTCACGGAGCAAGTAGCAATCCGCCCTTGCTATCATTTGGACCGATAATAACCACAAGTTCATTGTCTAGTGTCAAACTGACCATTGCAGATGAAAAACAGTATTGCTGTGGCAATATCAAGAACTTGTAAAATGAATAACAGACAGAAATGAACCGGTGGTTACTATACATGTAGGTTCTCACTTTAATGGGGGTAAATTATGTTTTCTATGGTATCTCACAATGTTTCTAGCTTATACACAAATTTTCAATAATTCGCTCGCGCATACCAGAGGACCCGGAGAAAACACACAAGGTTGGACTGGCGACCCTATTCCTTGTCACGTACAACCGGGGAATCGAAACCACGCCAGTTGACTCAATGACAGATCTTATTATACAGCGCGCAAGTGCTAACCATTCAGCCATCCACCCCGCCCCCTCCCCCCCATTCTTATTGGAATTTAATTGGATTCATTGTGGTGGACATTCACAATATAATGCATAAGCTAGTGATTTGCCGAAATCTAATATTTTTGTTGACCTGCAGATTGCACAACACTGCTAATCAGAACTTGTTCATAATGCATATATGTCAATATAGGTGTTTATCTTAAAATTTGGTAGAGCTCTAGGAATATGTTAGGAACTGGTGATGAATGGTAGTCGATAATGTGTTTGTTTACTCAATCTTTGGATATTAGTGTATTTTCTATGCTACTTGCATATTCGCTATATGTTCTAAAATTAAGGATTCTACAATTCGTGTTCTGAATAATCAGGCCTGTGGTTTGATTGATGCTGGATCGTTGCTTGTGTGCTCATATACAGATATTTTGAAGTAGGTTTTGAGCAGGATTCTTAATCCATTTAGAAACGAACTGGCCAGAATTGGGTCAAATAATGTCCGGGTAAGAATGGGTTCTAAAATTTTAAGCTTCCATTCCCTTTAATATAACTTCAACAAAGATCGGTTGCCAGGTAACGAAACATACGACCACAGCAGCTAAATCGTCCAGGGAGTCAACTAGAGTTGTCGCATATTTTTACTTTTTTCGGTAATTAAACATTTATAATATATTAAAATCTGATTAAGAGTAACAACTAATTAAGTAATTATCAGAAAACCATCAGAATTTGTTTGGTTTTTATAAAGTTCTGCCCCATGCTAATGTTTAGTATATGAAACTTTTAACATCATGGATTTAGTTGTTCAAGTCATAAAAATTCATTGAAAATCAATATACTTGTTTGTCTCAAGACCTTAAACTCTGTGTATCAATCTGAAGTCAATCGGATGATAACTTTAGCCTCTAGAGCGTCCACAAGATTTTTCAAAGTGATTAAGGGCCATAACTCTGGCAAAAATTATCGAAAATCGCTGAAAATCACTAGGCTTCTTCGTCTCATGGTCTTCAACACTGTGTATATAAATTTAAAGTCAATTGGATATTAACTTTAGCCTCTAGAGCGTCCACAAGAATTTTCAAATTGATCAAGGGCCATAACTCTGGCAAAAATTATCAGAAATCGGTGAAAATCAATAGGCTTCTTCGTCTCATGACCTGAAACACTGTGTATCAATTTAAAGCCAATCGGATATTAACTTTAGCCTCTAGAGCGATTGTGGACGCCGGACCGACGGACGGACGGGGGTGACGACAATATACGACCACATTTCAATGTGGGCGTATAAAAATAATTCTTGGTAATTTGTTATGAGGAAATCGTATTCTACTGAATGTAGCACAAAAATAACGACAAATAGGTACATCATTCGGAAAATTTTCCATATTTTAATTCACGTACCAGCTTGAAATTTATTTGATGTCACTAATATTCCTGAATAAATTACTACTGTTTTTTTTTTTTTTTTGGATGGATATAAGCTGATATGGCACAATGGTATTTCTTCATAACACAATTTGTAGGGGTTTTTTCTATCACGTAACTTGCAAATGTTTTTATTCATCTGTCCATGAAAGACACGTACGGCACATTGATCACGTGACAACCATAATTGAAATGGTTTAATTTAAAGTTAAATTCCATACGACTGTGCCATAATATAGCTTTCAATGATAATAATGATAATATTTTTTTAAAAAATAAGCCCCTGTCAGCATGTGTATAAAATAAAAAATCATAACGGTAACATGCTATTTAAAACTAAAACTAGCATCGCTGGTTTACTGACCTAATTTTTCACGTGTCATCGGGAATTTGGCATTGGAGAATCATAATATAATATATATCCGAGGATTATATTCAACTAAGATTTAAATTTAACTAACAACTGGTCAGTGAAACCATTAAATTATGATCCAATTATTAATTTAATATCTACCGGCACACCTGGAATTTATACACAGCTTCGAAGACGTGCGATAGATGCACAATCAGCAAGCCTGTTTTGTTTTTTTACCGGCCGATTATCAAAATTAAGGTTATTTCACTTACTCGGATTATGAATTACATGGCTGATTTTCACTATGGTATAACTGTTATTGTAGCCGACACGCAAGTTGATTGACTTCTTAATTAACAAGAAATAATTAACCCGTTGTAATTTAGCCGAAAGTAGATTGATTTATGATACCATAGTGGCCGGTTCATTGTTTTACCAATTGGCTTGATTGAACTTCAAGCAGCTAAAACCGACAAAAAACAGCCGATTAAGATCCCTGGTTTTGAGTATGTTCATAACCCAGGAAATATTATAGTATACTAGGATCTACAATTAGTATTGTTTTGTTTAAGCACATTCCTCATTATATCTAAACAAAAGTTTGACGTGTCTGAAAGAAACGCTTTAATACTAATAATAATGATTATTAAATTCGCTAAATTTAACATTGAAAACATTAAAAATCATTTTGCCTTATTTCAACTTTGATATTATTGAAATGTTGAAAAAACTAAAAATTAAGCACATTCCTCATTATATTGAAGACTGAAACATAAGGCAAATTAGGTGTAGACACTTTGTTTATGGAGAGAGCAAAATCCCCAACAGAACCAGATATTTGAAAGTTTCATTTCCCCCCCAATATTAGTAATCTGAAACAATTATTTTAACGACGGACTGAAATAGCAAATAATCACAGATTGGATTAATTATTCAGAATAAATAATGACTTGGGGAAGGCTTTTTGTATCATTGACAATTATCACTCAAAGACATTTTCAGCTAGTTGTTTAACTTATATTCTGCCACATGGTTTTGGTTGACACTCAATGGCAATCTAGAATATTAAGATTTCTGCACATCACTTCTCAGAAAGAATCAGAAGTACTCCAAAATATCGCCCAAATCAAACATTTATCGGCACTTTCATTTTCATCGCAAATGTGACCTGACAGTGTGAGCCCTGAACGCAGCCATGATATGATCCCACAATACACTGTGCGCGGGCGGTGGGGGGGGGGAGACATATTTATAAACTAGAGATTCACGGCTCCACAATGATGCCATGTATTATGTAAGGAGATGGAACCAAACTGCATTGGTTTCTATTGCAATTGGTTTGGGTTAAAACATTATCCTTCCCCACCTGAAAAAATTGATGGGGAATTGTGATAGCTTTGTAATTTGCATAGAATTATTATTTTGTAACACAATTAACAACTCCTCAAACTTTCAAAGCATTCCATTCCCACAGAGAAACCCGTCCTTTATTGGGTTCATAAACCTTAATTTATAATTGAAAATAATTCTGAAATTGAGATTGATCAAGATCGACATGCAAACTTTTGAATGCAGACATGCAAACAGCAGCTAATTCTCGCAAAAAATATAGTCATACATGGTTGACCATTTTTGATAAGGCCTTCAGGAAATCTAATCTCTAATCATGTTCACATAGACATACATGCACCAGTAATATCTCACTGTAACAGAAGGTCCTAAAATTCTAAACATGAAATTTCTAACGTTCATTTTCATAATCCTGACGAGGATGGTTTTGTGAGCCACTGAAATATTTGAGTATAAAAATGAATAAAAACCAGCGGCTGCCAGGCAGGATACGCCCACATTTTCGAGAGATGGATAGAGAACAAGCTAACAAGAAAGTGATTTTTCCTACAATCATGGGCCATAATTCAGGAAATTACAATTCGATATGCGCATATATCAAAAGGTACTGAGATCTTTGTGTTATAAACTTACATTTCAAGTTTCAACAAAATCGGATAAAAATTGTGACCTCTATAGGGTCCACAACCTTGATATACCATTTTCTTACGCTATTTGAGAACGAACGGCGGCCATTTTGTCTGTCAATTTTGGGCCGATTTTCACGAAATTCGAATTCAGTCGTCCCTAGGGTGTAACGGTGATATAATAATACGTTTTTTTAAATCGGGTAAAAATTATGACTTCTATAGGGTCCACAAGCTAAAAACGTGATTTTTCATACAATCAGGGGTCATAATTCAGGAAGTTACGGTTCGATATGCACGAATATCGAAAGGAACCGAGATCTTTGGGTTATAAACTTACATTTCAAGTTTCAACAAAATCGGATAAAAATTGTGACCCCTATAGGGTCCACAACCTTGATATACCATATTCTTACGCTATTTGGGAACGAATGGCGGCCATTTTGTCTGTCAATTTTGGGCTGATTTTCACGAAATTCGAACTCAGTCATCCTTAGGGTGTAACGGTGATATAATAGAACGTTTTTTTAAATCGGATAAAAATTATGACTTCTATAGGGTCCACAAGCTAAAAACGTGATTTTTCGTACAATCAAGGGCCATAATTCAGGAAATTACAATTCGATATGCGCATATATCAAAAGGTACTGAGATCTTTGTGTTATAAACTTACATTTCAAGTTTCAACAAAATCGGATAAAAATTGTTACCTCTATAGGGTCCACAACCTTGATATACCATATTTTTACGCTATTTAAGAATGAACGGCGGCCATTTTGTCTGTCAATTTTGGGCCGATTTTCACGAAATTCAATCTCAGTCGTCCTTAGGGTGTAACGGTTATATAATAATACGTTTTTTTAAATTGGATAAAAATTATGACCTCTATAGGGTCCACAAGCTAAAAACGCGATTTTTCGTACAATCAGGGGCCATAATTCAGGAAATTACGGTCCGATATGCGCGAATATCGAAAGGAACCGAGATCTTTGGGTTATAGACTTACATTTCAAGTTTCAACAAAATCGGATAAAAATTGTGACCTCTATAGGGTCCACAACCTTGATATACCATTTTCTTACGCTATTTGAGAACGAACGGCGGCCATTTTGTCTGTCAATTTTGGGCCGATTTTCACGAAATTCGAATTCGGTCGTCCCTAGGGTGTAACGGTGATATAATAATACGTTTTTTTAAATCGGATAAAAATTATGACTTCTATAGGGTCCACAAGCTAAAAACGTGATTTTTCATACAATCAGGGGTCATAATTCAGGAAGTTACGGTTCGATATGCACGAATATCGAAAGGAACCGAGATCTTTGGGTTATAAACTTACATTTCAAGTTTCAACAAAATCGGATAAAAATTGTGACCCCTATAGGGTCCACAACCTTGATATACCATATTCTTACGCTATTTGGGAACGAATGGCGGCCATTTTGTCTGTCAATTTTGGGCCGATTTTCACGAAATTCGAACTCTGTCATCCTTAGGGTGTAACGGTGATATAATAGAACGTTTTTTTAAATCGGATAAAAATTATGACTTCTATAGGGTCCACAAGCTAAAAACGTGATTTTTCGTACAATCAGGGGCCATAATTCAGGAAGTTACGGTCCGTTATGCACGAATATCGAAAGGAACCGAGATCTTTGTGTTATAAACTTACATTTCAAGTTTCAACAAAATCGGATAAAAATTGTGACCCCTATAGGGTCCACAACCTTGATATACCATATTCTTACGCTATTTGGAAACAAACGGCGGCCATTTTGTCTGTCAATTTTGGCCTGATTTTCACGAAATTCGAACTCAGTCATCCTTAGGGTGTAACGGTGATATAATAGAACGGTTTTTTAAATCGTATAAAAATTATGACTTCTAAAGGGTCCACAAGCTAAAAACGTGATTTTTCGTACAATCAGGGGCTATAATTCAGGAGGTTACAGTCCGATATGTGCAAATATCGAAAGGAACTGAGATCTTTGGGTTATAAACTTACATTTCAAGTTTCAACAAAAACGGATAAAAATTGTGACCTCTATAGGGTCCACAAGCTAAAAACGTGATTTTTCGTACAAACAGGGGCCATAATCCATGAAGTTTCGATCCGATACATGCCAATATCGAAAGCAGCCGAGATCTTTTGGGGATAAACCTATATTTCAAGTTTCGTCGAAATCGGATAAGAATTGTGACCTGTAGAGAGTCCACAAACAATTGTGGATGGATGGATGTATAAAAGCTGTAGCTTTCATAGTGTCCTAAGTTTTTCAGAGAAGTTGCATAACTCTAGAACAGAAGGTTGAGGAATACTCAGTATTGATAGGATTCATCCTATCATGACCCAAAATCTACACACCAAATTTAAAAAGAGAAAAGTAAATTATTTATTCCAGATTGTAGGACAACAGGCATAAGTGCAGTGATTATAGCAAAGCTAGCAGGGACTGAATAAAAATCAGATTTGAAATGTACAACTTACTTGTAACTGCTAAAGAGGAACTCCATGTTGTCTCACCAGTTTCACTAACAGCTTTACATGTATAAGTAGCACTGTCAGCAACTCTAACATCTGTCAAATACAAATCAAATCACAAAGCATATGCATTAAGCAGGAAAGTATAATCTTTCTATCAAAAATAATGTTTTCTGAAATATAGCCTATACAGTTTAAAGAGCGAAAGAATCACTTGCCCAGTCATAAGATAGCCATTTAAAGCAGGACTCAAACTGGCTGGCAGGCAGGATACGCCCACATTTTGCAAGAGATGGATAGAGAACAGGCTAAAAACAAACAGGATTTTTTGTAGAATCAGGGGCAATAATAAAGAGAGTTATGGTCTGAAATGCGCAAATATCAAAAGAGACTGAGATCTTTGGGATATAAAGATATGATTTAAGTTTCATCAGAATCGGACAAAAATTGTGACCGCTAGAGGGTTGACAACCTTCGTATTGCATACTTTTACACAATTTGCGAACAACGAGCGGCCATTTTGTTGGGCAGTTTCATTTAGATTTTCCCGAATTTCGAATTCAACCTTCATTATGGTGGAATGGTGAAATATTTAAACGGTTTTTAAAATCGAAAAAAAAAATTGTGATCTCAAGAGAATCCGCAATTTAAAAATGCCATTGTTCGAACAATCAGGGGCCATAATCCAGGAAGTTAAGTTCGGGTATCCGCGATTATCAAAAGAATCCATGATCTTAGTGTGTAATGGTGACATATTCACACATTTTTTTCAAATCAGATAAAAATTGTGACCTCTTTACAAGGACCACAAGCTAAAAATGCGATTTTTCGTACAATCAAGGGCATAATTCAGGAAGTTGCTATCCGATATGCGCGAATATCGAAAGGAAACGAGATATTTGGGTTATAAATTTACATTTCAAGTTTCAACAAGATGACTAGTCATCACCATCCCGCGCCCTTGCACGGAAGGCATAAGGAAAAACAACTTCTTGGAATATCAATGGGACTAGTCAGAAGATTCATACTTTGATCACAGTAGCTCGGCAAAGCAGGGTCGTTATTCACTATAAGGTTTGCACAACAATCCTTGCCTACCTCAATCAGCTACTGTATGTTAAAAAATAAGCTTATACATCAGAAAACACACACTATAATAGGTTGATGTTTGTACAAAGTTTCAAAAAGATATCTTGAATGGTTTAAAATATATGCTCCGGAAACAAAATTGTACACCAAAAACTAAGTCATTTTTGTTTCCATGGAAACACAAAAAATATAAATCTCAGAAATTCCTAAATAGCAAAAGGCACAACTACTGTAATAGGTTGATGAGGACAGTAGTCCAGCATGTCGGGGTTGCACCATCAGTTGCGCCCAGAGTCTAAATCTTTAGACGAATCTCACATTCCAACACATGAAATAACCATGGGACTAGTAAGAATATATATTCTGAGCACAGTAGTTCAGCATGTCGGGGTTGCACCATCAGTTGTGCCCAGAGTCTTAATCTTAAGACAAATCTCATATTCCGACACATGGAATATCAATTTACAGAATTTCATACTCTGATCACAGTAGCTCGGCAAGGCAGGGTTGCTTCTCCCTGTAAGGTTTGCACAACAACCTTTGCCTACCTCAATCAGCTGCTCTATGTTAAACAATAAACTTATACATCAGAAAATAAAATACTATAATAGGTTAATGTTTGTACAAAGTTTCAAAAAGATTTCTTGAACAGATAATAAAATATGCTCTAGAAACAAAATCAGGACGGAAGGCTGGATTTCAGAAAATAAAATAATGGGTTTATGAATGTAAAATTATTTTAAAGGTATCTTTAACAGTCAAATGTGTTTCCATGGAAACACATAAAATTATCAAATCTGAGAAATTCAAAATAAGTGCCAAGAAAATATCTTGAATGATTTATGAGATATGCTCCAGAAACAAAATTGTACACCAAAAACTAAGTCAAATGTGTTTCCATGGAAACACACAAAATATCAATCCCAGAAATTCCTAAATAGCAAAAGGCACAACTACTGTAATGGGTAAATGTCTGTACAAAGTTTCAAAAAGATATCTTGAACGGTTTATGAGATATGCTCCGGAAACAAAATTATACACCAAAAACTAAGTCAAATTTGTTTCCATGGAAACACAAACCAGCCGGTGCCAGGCAGGATACACCCCACATTTTCGAGAGATAGATAGAGAACAAGCTAAAAAGAAAGTGATTTTTCCTACAATCAAGGGCCATAATTCAGGAAATTACAATTCGATATGCGCAAATATCAAAGGAACCGAGATCTTTGTGTTATAAACCTACATTTCAAGTTTCAACAAAATCGGATAACCAGCGGCTGCCAGGCAGAATACGCCCACATTTTCGAGAGATGGATAGAGAACAAGCTAAAAAGAGAGTGATTTTTCCTACAATCAAGGGCCATAATTCAGGAAATTACAATTTGATATGCGCAAATATCGAAAGGAACTGAGGTCTTTGTGTTATAAACTTACATTTCAAGTTTCAACAAAATTGGATAAAAATTGTGACCTCTATAGGGTCCACAACCTTGATATACCATATTTTTACGCTATTTGAGAAAGAAGGGCAGCCATTTTGTCTGTCATTTTTGGTCCGATTTTCACGAAATTCGAACTCAGTCGTCCTTGGGGTGAAACGGCGATATAATAATACGTTTTTTTAAATCGGATAAAAATTATGATCTCTATAGGGTCATACGCTATTTGAGGACGAACGGCGGCCATTTTGTCTGTCAATTTTGGGGCGATCTTCACAAAATTCAAACTCAACTGTCCTTAGGGTGGAACGGTAATATAATAATACGGTTTTTTAAATCGGATAAAAATTATGACCTCTAATGGGTCCACAAGCTAAAAACATGATTACAATTCGGTATGGGCATATATCATGACCTCTATAGGGTCCAGAAGCTAAAAAAGTGATTTTTCGTACAATCAGGGGTCATAATTCAGGAAATTACAGTCCGATATGCGCGAATATCGAAAGGAACCGAGATCTTTGGGTTATAGACTTACATTTCAAGTTTCAACAAAATTGGATAAAAATTGTGACCTCTATAGGGTCCACAACCTTGATATACCATATTCTTACGCTATTTGGGAACAAATGGCGGCCATTTTGTCTGTCAATTTTGGGCCGATTTTCACGAAATTCGAATTCAGTCATCCTTAGGGTGTAACGGTGATATAATAGAACGTTTTTTTAAATCGGATAAAAATTATGACTTCTATAGGGTCCACAAGCTAAAAACGTGATTTTTCGTACAATCAGGGGCCATAATTCAGGAAGTTACTGTCCGATATGTGCGAATATCGAAAGGAAACGAGATCTTTGGGTTATCAACTTACATTTCAAGTTTCAACAAAATCGGATATAAATTGTGATCTCTATAGTGTCCACAAGCTAAAAACGTGATTTTTCGTACAAACAGGGGTCATAATCCATGAAGTTTCGATCCGATACATGCCAATATCGAAAGCAGCCGAGATCTTTTGTAGATAAACCTATATTTCAAGTTTCGTCAAAATCGGATAAGAATTGTGACCTGTAGAGTGGCCACAAACAAATTGTGGACAGACGGACAGGGGTGATGACAATATACGTCCACATGAAAATGTGGGCGTATAAAAATATTGTGATATCTCATTATATTGGTAAAATAAATTATCGCGATATCATGGATTATCATCTGGAGTAAATTATCGCTATAATTAGATTATCATCTGGAGTAAATTATCGCTATAATTAGAATTAATTTTTTTTTTTCTAATTGTAATTTATTTATTGTAATTTAGCCAAAAGTACATTGGTCTATGATACCATAGTGGCCGATTCATTGTTTTATCATTTGGCTGGATTAAACATCAATCGACTAAAGTCAATAAAATACAGCCAATTAAGAACACTGCTCTGGAAGTAATTTACATAAATTATTGAAATTGGACAGGCTTTTTCGCGTTTCTAATTCAAATATTCCATACAAATCTGATGAAATCTTTTGTCATTCGAGTATTCAAAAGGTTCAAGAAAGTAAAAGCAAGGGCCACAAGTCTTGAAGTAATTGACAGATATTGCTGTAATTTCATAGGTTTTTTGTTTCACTAATTTAAATGATGCATATAAATATAATACAGATCATATGGTAACTTTTGTCGTTTGAGCGTTCACAAAGTTCAACAAAGTGAACAAAGGCCATAACTCTGGACATACACTATACGACTGGTACTGTGGAATCTCGGGTAAATAGCGTTATTATCTAATCTATGTAGAATTATTCATATATATCGTTGAATTTGGCCCAATAGCATTCAATTTGTCCTTGTATACAACTTAAATCTCAACGTGCAATTTTGATTACCAAGCGTTAATTGACTAGTGTTTAGTTTGTCGACACGTGTGTAATTATAAGCGTCCCGCTTAATTTTGACGACTGTTCAATAATTAGTTGGACCGTTCAATTTCCCGAGTTGTGATTAAAATTAGTCAAGTTGTCCAATTACGCCAGGTATTCAATTCTGTTGCCGAACATCCAATTTCACATGCATTGTTCAGATTTTAACGAAATGTTTATATTGAAGGAGTTGTAATATAGTAATGCTGCCGTGAAAACGTGTACATGTATAATGTACAAGCCGGTTTGAATAACAACAAAATGAGTTCGGTAATCTTGGGAAAACATTTACCGGCATTCTGTATCGGTTAGGATTTTTTTCTAACGCACTGTACATGCATATAACGTCGGCCAAAATGTATGCGACAATGAACAACTTACAATTTTTTTTACAACGTATCATTACATCTTCGTCTATAACTTAGATGTAATCCATCAATTATTGGCTACTATAAAATCCAAACTTTAAATTATATACGTCATACGATGAGCTTGCAGCTTCAGTTAATCTAAATCAATCATTCATAGAGCACTCGATCCACTCCACGGGGAGCTTCACGGTAAGTCAAGTGGTAAGTCACGTGGTCAGAAACGCGCCAATATTGGGACTATTTTCTTAGTCTGTCTGTGTTAATAAGCGACAAATCTCCGCTATGACAATATACATCTACTTTAAATGTCGCCCAATTCATTTCGGTGGAAGCGGATATTGAATAAAGCCATTTCACACACGTGTACATTACATGCGCATGTCATATATTTATACAATGTCCACGAGTGTGTAGGCCTACATGTAATTCCCACCTTCACTCCGTTATAATTTTCTTATTTTGAGTACAATTTCTGAATGATTCCATTCTTTTGTACGTCCAACTTCCCGAATTCCTACTGCATATACATGTACCCCGTGTAACTGCAATCTATAAGTTTGTACATACATGTATATGTTTACGTTTAAAATCTAGATATCAAAAGCTCGAAAGTTATACTAGACGGTGAACACGCAAGTTTCTTGATTGAACCTGCATTTGTTTTTGTAATTATAACTGTATGTAAATCGTGATTATAATTATAAACAATGCATTTATATAACTGTACGACTTGTTTTCAGATCCCATAATTGAACATTGTATCTTTATAATATGTAAATATTGAATAAATATTGTTAGAAAAAAAGGAGAAAAAAATAAAAAAATAAACCTGCATCTATATTGCATAATATCGGACCCATATTTATCCTTGCTATTCGGACCAACCCAAAGGACCACACGGACCAATTAAATTACATTATAAGGCTTGACTTATTCATTTTAAAAATATAATACAGACAATATGTTATTAATGATTTTAATCATCAACAACATATTGTATCATAATACAAAGAGGCGAACAATTTTTAGGTGAGTATATACATAACTTTAGAATATCCGCTGCCGGTAAGTACATATTAGCAAATATATATCTTTATTACATCAACAATTTAATTGTTTTTCTTTGATGTGCTTCATGATGAAACAATGCCACGGGTAAGTACATAACACTTTATTATTTCAAAGAAAACATATGCATATTAAAACAAACACTATTATCAATTATTAAAACAACAATTAAAACAACAATTAAAACAACACTTTATTATTGATTCGAGTAGTCATATTAAAACAAACATAAATATAAACGTATTAAAACAACACTTTATTATTGGTCCGAGTGGTCCTTTTGTATGGTCCGAGTAGTCTTTTTTGTTTCGCCGAGTGGTCTATTAGTTGGTCCAAGTGGTCATGCATTCGTACAAAAGAATGGAATCATTCAGAAAGTGTAGGCTACTCAAAATAACGGAGTGAAGGCGACAATTAATGTACCACATCGTGGACATTGTGTAAATATATGACATGCGCATGTAATGTACACGTGTGTGAAATGGCTTTATTCAATATCCGCTTCCACCGAAATGAATTGGGCGACATTTAAAGTAGATGTATATTGTCATAGCGGAGATTTGTCGCCGATTAACACAGACAGACTAAGAAAATAGTCCCAATATTGGCGCGTTTCTGACCACGTGACTTACCGTTAAGCGCCCCGTGGAGTGGATCGAGTGCTCTATGAATGATTGATTTAGATTAACTGAAGCTGCAAGCTCATCGTATGACGTATATAATTTAAAGTTTGGATTTTATAGTGGCCAATAATTGATGGATTACATCTTAAGTTATAGACGGACCCGGGCGACGGCAATATAAGACGACATTTCCACCACATTTCAAAGTGGGCGTATAAAAATGATTGTGACCCATCACATATTCAATTTTTGAACTTGCTTATTTAGAGTCAAGTGCCGTTATCATATGACTATATTACATTAGTCTTCCATTTTCAAATCATAACAGATAAACCTTACCAGATATTTGTAATGTCCCTGAATCCAAAACAGTAATTCTATGATCATTGGTTACAATTGGTCTTCCGCTCATGTACCATCTAATCGTTGGCTGTGGGTCACCAATAGCTTCACATGGTAACCAGGCAACCTCTTTAGAAGGTAAAGTTTGATTTTGTGGACCGATCTTGATAATGGGGGGTGGTCTAGAATCTTGCTCTACAAAAGGAAAAGCTCAAAAATAAAATATCATGAGATGATAAAGCCAATTTAATTCAGACAAAAGATTACATTCATTTCATTTATTCCGATGGTCATTTCATGTTTAAGACAAGACGTTGCCATGTAAGATACGTCCACATTTTGCAAGAGATGGACGAAGTAGGAAAATAAAAAAATAGGTAGCCTAGCCAGGCAACAAAACATAAGCTCAAAGCAATTCAAATCGTCTGAGCGGTCAACAAGGGTTTTCACAAATTTATTGATTTGTAGATAATTGGGGGTATTTATTTACAAGACAATTAATTTCATTCAGATCAGATTATAATTTTTGTGGTTTGAAGGTTCACTTAAGGTTCTGCAATCTGAAACAAGGACCTTAACTGTGAAAGTAATTTACAGAAATTGTTGAAATTTGACAGGTTTTTTCATTTGACTCATTTAAACAATGTATAAATTTCATACAGATTGGATGATAACTTTTTTTTTTGTTAGAGGTTCGACAAAGTGAAACAAGGGCCATAACTCTATACATAATTAATGGAAATTATTCAATAGGCTTCTTCATCTCACTGATATAAACAACATATGTCAATTTTAAAACAATCAGATAATAAATATAGTCTGTAGAGTGTTCACAAGAATTGTGGACAGCAGATGGCCGGCAGCCCGGGGGGTGACAGCAATATACGACCACATTTTAATGTGGGTGTATGAAAAAATAGCTCAAATTCTGGATTTCTCGTTGGCATTGATAGAATTAGGTCAGTGAATAAATGGCAGTTTAGTAGGTGGACTATCAATATGGGCACCAGATTTTCCCAAGACATTTTATTCAATAATTTAGCTTTCTATAACAGTTCTCATACTAATTATTATAATTCTAAATTATTGTGTTTTTGTGGAAATATATCTAACACCTAATTCCATTTGTTAGCCAGTTAAACAAATTGAAACTACCAAAACATACAAAACAAAAAGGGAGTTGCTCAACAGGCTATATCTGTATTTGAATGTGGAGTAAAAACAAAACAATTCTTTCCGACAAAATCATCGCATTAGATTAACTTTGGTCACATAATGTATAGCTTCCAGGGGAACATCAAAGTCTTGACCAATCAAATTGCTTTTCGCTCCTCAGCCTAAACAGAAAATTCTCATCAAACTTAGTCAAGGTAAATGATATAATGAATCTATACTCAGAGTTTCATAGCTCTCACTTAATTATAACCAAAGTTATCATGCCCAAAAGCATCAACCAATCAAATTACTTATCTCTGCTTACCATAAGCAGACAATGTTTATCATCAAACTCCATCAAGGCATTCATCTAATGAACGCCTACACCAAGTTTGAACATTGTGTTTTAAAGTCTTGACAAATCAAATTGCTTATCGCTATGCTTACCCTCAGCAGAAAATGTTCATTATCGAACTTGGTCAAGGTATCACTCTCACTTAATTAGAACTAAAGTTATCGTGCCCCAAAGCATCACCCAATCAAATTGCTTATCTCTGCTTACCCTATGCAGAAAATGCACATCTCCGAACTCCATCAAGGCATTGACCTAATAAACAACTACACCAAGTTTGAAAATTCTAGCTCAAATAGAAGGAAAGTTATTGTGTCCCAAAAAGTGTGACGGAAGGACAGACAGACAGATACACAGAGAGACGGGTAGACAGATGGTCGAACCCATTTTATTAGTCCCCTGCTTTCTTCGAAAGGCGGGGGATAATAAATGTGTTTTAAGATGTACAGCATCTTAAACCAAATAGTAGATTATTCCATAAAACAGGAGCTTGAAAAATAAAAGAGTGCTGACCATAAGAGTCTAGTTGAATAGTATTGGTCTTTAAAAGTAGTTTATCTGCTGTAGCAATGTTCGACCAGGTGTATAAAATTATAAAAGACAGGAGCTAAATTATTTTAACATTTAAGAGGATCCACAAGCTAAAAACAATATTTGTTGTACAATCAATTATGGGAAGGTATGCCCTAATATCACAAGGAACCAACATCTTTTGACTTTTTCATTTCATGAACATAAACATAGTGTATAAATATAAATATCTTGAGTGTCTACAAATGTACAAGATCTATCAGAGTTATCAAGAGCAATATCTCTGGAAGTAATTTTTGGAAAATGTTAAAAATCAATAGGATTGTATCAATCAGATTATAACTTTAGCCTCTAAAGCGTCCACAAGATTTTTCAAAGTGATCAAGGGACATAACTAATTATGGGAAATCCCTGAAAATAAATGTGATTCTTTGTCTCATGACCATTTATAAACACTGTTTATCAATTTTAAGCCAATCGCTTACACTGTAGAGTCTACAGTATCCAAATTTTTTTTTAAAGTGATAAAGGGCTAGTAATTAATGCAAATTACTGAAAAGTAAAAGGGTTCTTAAACATCGCATATAATATTGAAAGTTTAAAGCGTCCAGAGGATTTTTCTGGCAGTAATAATCAGAAATCTGAGTACCCAGAGAAACCCCTACTCCTTGTGATATACAAGCTTGGAATCAGCTCGAAACCATGCCACTTGACTCAACATCAGATCTTATGATCTAACATGCACATGTTAGACCATTCAGCCACCCGACCCTTCCTTTCATAAAAAAATTCAGGGAATTTTCGGTAGTTTGATACATCAGAAGTCGATGAAGCGAATTCAATCCCTTTTGATTTTGCTATCTTTTAAGCTATTCAAAAATAAACCACCACTATTTCTAATCAGTATCAAACTACAGAACTTAAAATTGTAACTCATCTCAGAAAGAAATTTGATTTCAGGGATATATTTGACAATAATTATTGCATTTAAAATTTTATTTACCTCGAACTTCAATGGTAGCAGATGCTTTATCACTTCCTATCACATTTAGAGCTTGACATACGTATTCACCAGCATCATCAAATCTGACTCGTTCAACACGAAATGTTCCATCTTCAGCCACAGAAAATCTTCCATTTTCTTGATTTGGGAACATAAGATTCTGATAAAATAAAATTATTGTAAATTCAGCATGAAGTATCACGTTCCAAAGACTTGATCAAGTAGAATTATGAACATACATCCACAGCAGCTAAGTCGTCCAAACCAAACATCCGAACAAGGCAAAATCTTGAGATGGTAATATCATTGCTGAAATCCAATAACTTATTTGGTTCACTTATTTAAATAATGCATATCAATTTGATACAGATCCCAGGATAACTTTAGTCAATAAAGCATTCCCCAAAACTTGGATTCTGCTTACAGATTTTCCGGGTTTTGTTTACCGGAATCACCATGCACACTTTCGTTTTCACTTGCCATGGTTAACTTGATAAAAGCATTAAAGCCTTTAAGTGTGTGGACAACGTAGTACTAAATCCTTCACCTTCTTTCTTTACATCTTGGAATTCTAGCTTTCAGTGTTTACTGTTCTGTCTCACTAGCTCGAGCGATTTTGCGTTAGCTTTATTGGCCGAGCCTCCGGGGAAAGATTAAATCTACATTTGGTGACATGTTAGTTTAATCAATCTTGGGCTGCAGTAAACACCATTCAGCCACATCCTCTGTATTTACATTCTCAACATTACTGCTCTAATGGCGGGAAAATAATACATAATCCACTTCCGTTATATGCGAGTAATTCACATTTAGGTAATGGACTTTATCGACTCACAAAATACTATATAAAATAGCAGCAGGAATGTGGATGACCAGTTAAAAATACATATAACTAATAAAAAGAAAGGTTTACGAATATTATAACTAGATATGTCAGTCCTATAAATAAAGTTATTACAGATCCGGATGATAACTTTTGTAGTTAAGAGTATTCAAATTAATTGTTGAAATAAACAGGATTCTTCTTCTTACTAAGTTAACATGTCAAGACACTGATATCAATTTAATACAGTTTGGATAATTCGAACGTTCACAAGGTTCTATAGAATGAAATTTGGGCCATATCTCTAGAAGTAATTAGCGGAAATTGTTGAAATTCAAAAGGCTTATGTTATAATCATTTAAACTATGCATACAATTTAATACAGATCGGATGATAGCTATTGTTGCTAGAGCGTTCACAACGTTCTACAAAGTGAAACAAGAGCCATAACTCTAGAAGAAATTAACCGAAATTGTTGAAATTCAAAAGGGCACTTTGTTTCACTAATTTAAATAGTGCATATAAATTTCATTCTTGACCTGATGTAACTTTTGTTCAAATTAATTGTTGAAATTGAATAGGCTTCTGTCGTCTCACTAATTAATGTACACATCATATATGAATTTCAATAAGATCGGCTAATGAATGTAGTCAGAGTGTTCACAAGAAATTGTCGACAAAGCAGACAGGGTGACAACAATAAACAATCACATCTAGTAGTCTCTATTGCATTCACAAGGTTTTCAGCAATTATCAAGAGGGTTTGTCCTTTCATGACACCAATGCTTCCCACCAAATTTGAAAAAGATCCATTAACTAGAGCATCACTAAAGCTGCATTATACGTCTACTTTCCTGCTTTCATTGATATGGTACTTTTCAAAATGAAGTGAATGAAATATGAACTAGCTGCAATGACTGTAATATGACAAGAGGTAAAGAAGGCTAGGCTTGGGTTTATTTTGCCAAATTTAGAGACTAAATATGCATGCACCAAAATAAAATAATTGCTGTCTTTACAGTATAAGGAATAAATATGCAACGTTCCAAGATGATCCATTCTGAATTGCAGCCTGTAGATGATAAATACAAAAATTGGGCGTGGCTCTGTCCCTGGGGGTTGGAATTGGAACAATATAAATAAGTACAACCCTGTTATTGAAATGACTGATAAGCTGAATTTGAACAAAATCTGTTAATTATAGCAACCTGTAGAGTATTTACAGACAAAAATTAACAAAAAATGGGTGTGGTCAGAACCAGTGTTCTTAATCTTAATCATCTGTTTTTTGTTGGCTTTAGCCGATTGATGTTTAATCTAGCCGATTGGTAAAACAATGAACCGGCCACTATGGTATCATAAATCAATCTACTAGCGGCTCTGTCCCCGGGGGTCGTGACATGCACCAAAATCAATAGTTTGCGGCCTTAGACTATAAGGAAAAAATATTCCAAGTTCTAAGCTGATCCATTCAAAATTGTGGCCTGTATACGATAAACACAAAAATTGGGCGTGGCTCTGCCCCTAGGGTTTGGGACATGCACCAAAATCAAAAGTTGCCATCCTTAGGCTATAAGGAATATATAGGCCAAGTTCCAAGACAATCCATTAAGAATTGTGGCCTGTAGGCAACACACACACAAAGAAAAAATTGGTGTGGCTCTGTCCTTGGGGTCCGGAATTCACCCAAAAAACAATAGGGATTCAAAGTTTCAAAAGGATCTATTAAGAATTGCTGCCTTTAGACGACAAACAAACAAATACAAGAAATGGGCATGGCTCTGCCCCTGGGGGTTGGGCATGCATCAAAAATAATTGAGGTCATCCTCAGGGCATAAGGAATAAGTATGAAAAGTTTTCAAGACAATCGATTAAGAATTGCGGGCTGTAGGCAAGACAGACACAAAAGAAAATGGGCATGGCTCTGCCCCTGGGGGTTGGACATGCATCCTAGACAATAGGGATGTACCTTACGGTATAAGGAATAAGTATGCAAAGTTTGAAGATAATACTTTAAGACATGCGGCCTGCAGACGACAAACAAACAAATACAAGAAATAGGCGTGGTTTTGCCCCTGGGAGTCGGGCATGTACTAAAGATAGGTTGCCAGGCAACAAAACATACGCCCACAGCAGCTAAATCGTCTGGGCAGTCAACAAGAGTTGTCGCATATTTTTACTTTTTTCGGTAATGAAACATTTATAATACACTAAAATCTGATTAAGAGCAACAACTCAGAAAACCATTAGAATTTGTTTGGTTTTTATAAAGTTCTGCCCCATGCTAACGTTTTGTATACAAAACTTTTAATACTGTATCATGAATTTAGCTGTTCCAAGTCATAAAAATTCATTGAAAATCAATATACTTGTTCGTCACACTGTGTATAAATTTAAAGTCAATCGGATATTAACTTTGGCCTCTAGAGCGTCCACAAGATTTTTTGAAGTGGTCAAGGGCCATAACTCTGGCAGAAATTATCGGATATCGCTGAAAATCAATAGGTTTCTTCGCCTCGTGACCTCAAACACTGTGTATAAATTTAAAGTCAATCAGATATTAACTTTAGCCTTTAGAGCATCCACAAGGTTTTTTGAAGTGATCAAGGGCCATAACTCTGGCAGTAATTATCGAAAATCTTCGTCTCATGACCTTAAACACTGTGTATAAATTTAAAGTCAATCGGATATTAACTTTAGACTCTAGAGTGTCCACAAGATTTTTCAAAGTGATCAAGGGCCATAACTCTGGCAGTAATTATCGTAAATTGCTGAAAATCAATAGGATTCTTCGTCTCATGACCTTAAGCACTGTGTATAAATTTCAAGTCAATATTATATTAACTTTGGCCTCTAAAGAGTCCACAAGATTTTTTTGAAGTGATCAAGAGCCATAACTCTGGCAGTAAGTATCAGAAATCGCTAAAAATCAATAGGATTCTTCGTCTAATGACCTTAAACATTGTGTATAAATTTAGAGTCAATCGGATATTAACTTTCTCCTCTAAGAGCGTCCACAAGATTTTTTGAAGTGATCAAGGGCAATAACTCTGGCAGTAATTGTCGGAAATCGCTGAAAATCAATAGGCTTAAACACTGTGTATAAATTTAAAGTCAATCGGATATTAACTTTGGCCTCTAGAGCGTCCACAAGATTTTTTGAAGTGATCAAGGGCCATAACTCTAGCAGTAAATATCGGATATAGCTGTAAATCAATAGGCTTCTTCGTCTCATGGCCTTAAACACTGTATATAAATTTGAAGCCAATCGGATATTAACTTTAGCATCTAGAGCGTCCACAAGCAATTGTGGACGCCGGATCGACGGACGAACGGACGGGGGCGACGACAATATACGACCACATTTCAATGTGGGCGTATAAATACAATAGGGATCATTCTTAGGGTATAAGGAATAAGTATGTAAAGTTTCAAGGCGATTAGTTAAGGATCGCAGCCAGTAGGCGAACCACAGACACACACACACATACAGGGGCGACGGCAATATACGTCCACACATTATGAATGTGGATGTATAAAAACTATAGTCTATATATCGTGTTTACAATATTACTATATAATATCACTGGCACTGTCACAAGATTCTGTCATATAATCAAGTGCAATAATGCTTTAAGTAATTATCAGAAATTATTTCAATATAATTCTTCAATTCATTAGTCTCAACCAGTGATGGGATTTCGCCTGTATATTCCGGACATGTCCAACGCTATTTTCCAAACGTCATAAATTGTCCGACCAGGAATATACCCAACCGGACATCAAGACATGGTTAATTATATTCACAAGCCAACAGTGAGGCTGATGTCCCCCGCCGAAATCCCAAAATAAATAGATGACACATACATGTATTAATTAATAGCAAATTTTTTTTTTTTTCAAAAGTATCAAAGAAATCAAACCGATTATCAACTATACACCAAGTTATCTGGTCCCAAAGCATTGACCAATAAAATTGCTTAGCTCTTTTTAGCTTTAGCTCGAAATGTTAATCATTGAAAGTCAAGACATTCACCTAATGAACATCAACATCAAGTTTAAACATTCTACCTCAATTAAAAGCAGAGTTGTTATGTTCCACCTCGGCCAATCAAATTGTTTATCGCTCTGCTTACCTTGAGCAGAAAATGCTCATTATCGAACTTAGTCAAGGTAATGATGTAATGAAACTATACACCAAGTTTCACCACACTCACTTAATTAGAACTAAAGTTATTGTGTCCCAAAGCATCAACCAATCAAATTGCTTATCTCTGCTTACCCTAAGCAGAAAATGCTCATCTTTGAACTCCATCAAGGCATTGACCTAATAAACA